CCAATATATATATTGACAGTCTTGTCAAACTGGTTGAAAACAACAAAGTTCATGTCCAATAATCCAATAACCCTGGACGCATATGTAGTCAGTAGCTACGTACTGCAAACAAAACCACACAATGGTCATGATAGAGTCCAAATCCAGATGGAAAAAGTCCCTGTGAGCGCCGGAGAAAACACCGGACTTCCAAGCAATGCCTCCCCACCAGAGAGGCTCCCTGGGCCGGCAAGCAGCGCTCAGATTGACTGATGAGGCAGGAAGTCTGGTTCCAGTCCAATTCCCGGTCGGTTCCGTACGACTCTCTGCATCCACTGAGCGCCGCAGTCACTATGAATAAGAATGAGAACTTTTTCAGATCAAATCAGAACTTTCCCTCCATTTCAGCAAAAAGCAGCGGCCAGTGGCACTGTTGACTTCTGGGTAATGTAGTCCTTTTGACGGGCGAAACGGTGTAGGCTTATTGAGAGAAAACTACAAAATGGCGGCGCCTGTTTAAAGATTTATTTTTTTTAACGTTAATATTTTACTGTATCCTGTACTGTCCCAATCACGTGAGTAATATTAAAGTTGACAATAGTGTGACGTGTACTTCTAAAAAAAAAAAAAATCTTTTGTGCAATCTTACTTTGAAAAAACACGAAAGAGCGAGTCCGCAAAAGTCGAACCACAAAGTAGCGAGGGACTACTGTAATAATAGCTAATGCTGCACTGCCTTGAATAAAATAACTTGTAGAAAAGCTGTACTAGGTTACTGTAAACCCTAGAAAATCTGCACAACATAAATTTCTAACCTAAATTTCTGAGTTGACTTTAAACCAGTTTAAATTTACATTTGTTCTTAGCTCTCTTCAGTTTTATTGCAGCAGCTCTCTTCATGTCTTTTTATCTGCGGACACTACGTGCCTCTTTGCTGAAAGGATTTTCCTGTTTTTGTTTAGTCTCTCTTTTTTTTCACGTTTGACAGAATTCCTCTGCAAAGAATGTCCTCGGATCCACATACACTTCGACCGTGTGAAAGTAGGGGATATCCCCTCTGAGTCGGTGAATTTCCGCAGGTGGATGCACGATCGATTCGAAATTAAAGACCGGTGAGTGTGTGTGGAAGATCTAATCAGCTGATTTTACATCTTTGTGTGGACTAGGTGGTTTTTATGTTCCGCTGGTTTTAATCACTTTAGTCTATTATTTATTCTGTTATTATTCCTCTTAAAAACATGTCTTAACCTGTGGAAAAAGAGAGTAATATTTTATTTCAACATTAACTCTTCCATCATTTTTAAAATCTGAATCACACCCTGTTTATATCACAAAGTTCACTCTAATAATTGTTGATCAAACTCTGATTTTAATCATCTTTAACTTTAATCAGTAACTCATGTGGGCTGAAATGAACTTCCAACCCTTTTTGTATTTGCATTGCAAGCAAATGTGATCAGAGGCCAACTAGATAAAAGCTGGATAAAATAATAAACTGTGCTTTTAATTACGGTAATCTACTGTGCATTGGTATAAAGTAAGACCTCGTGCTGCGGAGGATTGTTTTCTAACATCTACAGACACCAGTTAACTAAAAAGATACAAAACATATTTTTTATATATTCTTTCAAACAGCTTTAAGTCATATAAGCAGGGATGCACGATGGAACAAGCCTCCACAAGTGAGACAGCATCGCAGGTGACTAATGCTAATAAATAATAATTTAACACTTTTCATTTAATACAAGTTAAAGTGCTATGCATATCATTCAATTCAATTCAAATATACTTTATTAATCCCAGAGGAAAATTATTTGTTGCTGTAACTCGTTATCCTCACTTCATTAAGAGATGTTATAGATACTGATGCTGTAGGCAGGAAGGATCTCTTGTAAAGGTCCATCCCACAGTGGATCCTAAGAAACTGGCTGCAGATGCCGTCCGATCCATCCACCCAGACTCGGCTGGCCTCTTGGCTCCCCTGGGCTGTAGGACCGCTCGAATGCCGGGCAGAACTCCTCCCAGAGTGATGGCCACTCCTCCCATCAGTCTGCTGAGCTCCTCGTCGCTGCGGACAGCCAACTGTAGGTGCTGAGGGACGATCCTGTCCTTCCGCTGTCATGAGCCGTGTTTCCTGCTAGTTCCAGGATCTCAGTGGTCAGGCACTTGAGCACAGCTGGCATGTAGATGAGAATGCATCCACAGAACATCCTTTTCAACTCGTTTTGAGATTTGGGGCTGTAGTTGAGATATTATTTGAGCTTTTGAGACGTTAATCAGCTGCTGCTGGTTGTAGAAAACTGCCTTGTTGCCATGGTTACACATCATAACAAATGTCTAAAACTAAAAAGTATTGCATATGGCTGTTACTGAATATGTCACCAGCTCTTACAGCTGTTACACAGTTTTTGTAACAAATAAGCCTAAATAAGAGGGCTATGTTCTGACAAAGGAAAGTACATTAAAACTATCAGTATCGGTTATCGGCCAAATAAGTTTTAACATATCGGATATCAGCCAAAAATCCAATATCGTGCATCCCCTACATCCTTATAAGGTAATGATTATTTGGATTACACACGCTGTGTTACACTTAAGACTTTAAAATCAGTTATTTAGTCCATGTGATTTTAGCACAGCTCTCAAATTAAAAGTTTGGGTATGTCATGGAAAGGGATTTTAGGAGGTTATTGAACAAGCAGTATTGCCTTATCGTTCTTTGAGTCTAAAAATGTTGAAATAAACTTATTTGAAAAAGTCAATTTCAGCTTTTGACGATTCAGTACAACCCTTTTTGTTGTTGTTGAGAAAACGTTTTGTTGATGAGAACAAGATTTTGATTTTATTGCCAAGCCAGCAACTAAAAGCCCTGATGTTGTGTGGTGTTTGTGCTGCGACTGCTCTCAAAACAAAAAAAGAAAAGATGTGAAGATTTTTGTTTTAGTTTCAGTTCCTTGTATTCACTGAACAGCATGTATTCCTAATGTACTTTTGTTTTTTTTCTAAAGGCTTCTGACAGATTTCTACGAGTCGCAGGACCCGGAGAAAAGGTTCAGGTTCCCAGGAGAGGGCAAACCCTCTCCACTGAGTCTCTCCAAGACCCTTCCATCATTGATCATCTTAGGGGGGCTCACACTGCCATTACTGCTGACGGAGAGCGGCAGGAAACTTTACGTGAGAACCTGGGTTTGTGGGACGCTGCTGGGCTGGCTGTGGATGAACGTTTCTCCTTAAGAACTGCAACGTTGGTGCAGAGAGGCTGCCATGACGAGACACAGGAAACTGTGATACCACTCGTGTTGCAACAACCTAAGATGTTCCAGATGCAGAGCAGCAACTTTACAAGAGTTTTGACTGTCTCAACTGTTGACCGGAGACGCTGAGAAATGTTTAAAACTATCTATGCTACTTGAAATTATAAGAAAATAACAGATTTAAATTAAAAATACTCCTAAATATAAATTGAAAATAGCTAAATCCTTCTTTTTAAATTATCACCCCTCAGTAGATTTTGCCAAATTAGTACTTTTGCATGCTTCGTCAATCATTGGCACGTTTTAAAGCTTATTTTTTTTAAAGCCAAGTTTGCTTAGTACTAAAATAAAATCATTTATTTCCAATTAAGTGCACTGACTAAACGATACTGGTTGTAATGTTTTGAAACCAAGTTCCATGTCGGGAGGAACGTGCATTATTCTTATGTAAAGTGACGTTTTTACACTGGTAGAAGAAAACGACCAGCATGCAGTCCTCTGTAAGGGTCCATGAACGCAACACCAGCTGCACTGTTTACCAGAAATGTTCATGCTGAATTTTATTTTATTTTATGATTTGATTTCTGACGGTGAATGTAGCTGTAAAAACACATTCATTCTTGCAAAAAAAATGAGTAAACATCAACCTGTTGGACGTTTTGAGTATTTCTTCACTGAGCTTACATGTTAAAAATGCAAATACCATTGTAAAATATTATTTGAACCCTAAAGTGTCAAAGTTTGCCAAAAGCTGCTGTTTGCCACAGTGTTGTATTAAGAGTGTTTTATGTAAAGTTTAATTTCTTCAGCGTTTTATTTCTATGGATTCGGTTTCTTTCGGGTATATTTTTATTTTTATTTTTTACTTTTAATATATGCATTTTCTTCTTTTAAACTTGTTACAGTCGACATGAAAGTATCTACCTAACAACAAGCTGACAAAGCCATGGTCTCCCAGTGCATCGCAGGTTTTTCTGTGCACTCCCAAGCCATTTGTATTACATTATTGTGACTTGCACCGTTTGTCCATTGTTGTTTACCGTAACGAGACCATTGCGTTTTCCACGCGTCACTTTACGTATAAGCCGTCTTGTCCTCCTCTATATAATAGTCTTATGTTTTCAGTTCTACAATAATCCCACGGTTTTACACTTCTCTCCAATACCTCACTTGAATAATTCTTCTCTTTAACAAAAAAAAAAAAAAAGAAATCAGTGTCAGCCGTTTTATAGTAAATTTTTATGCAGAGAAAACCAGACTGTAACTTATCAGGAAACTCTGTAGACGATATTTAAATGCCAAGTGTTTTTGGAAACGCGTGCCTTCTCTTTGGGGGGGGGCCACGGCGGCTCTTCTCCACCAGGTGACCGCATGGAGGAGCTCTGCTGGAGCCCAAGCTCCACAGCAGCATTCGGTCATGATGTCCACAGCTCCTAGTGGCTTATTTTGCTCTAAAATGCTTTGATTTACACTTTTTGAAAACTGTTATTAAAAGATGAAACCTTTAAAGAGTGTACGATGTGGGGAAACTGGGGTCAGAGTTAAATAAAGAGGTTTTTGTGGGGGAAAGATTGAGTTTTTCTTTTTACTATAATGAATTATTAATAGAACTGTTTGACTCATTGCTGATAACTTGGTCACATTTGGTTAATGTGTAACAGAGGAGTCGCCCGAATGTTGATTCAGTTTGACGAGCGCCTGTAAAAAGCTTCGTTTCTGCACAAACGCTTAAAACAAATAGTTTTCTAAATGACTTTTTAAAAGTGAAATTTTACGTTTAAAATATTGATCAGAGTTGTAACTTTAAATACATCCAGGAGGTCGTCGAATGAACACATTGAACTGTTTGAATTTAAATACAAACTTCTTTTTTTTTTTTAACTATGCACTGATTTAAATGTTTTAGGAGAACCATCACTGAATGTATGACCTTCAGTCAAAAGATACTGATTTGGTCATTTATACACATTTGAATTCTGCTTCCTATGATGACATATTTTAAATGTTTTACGGTGATTTAATTGAACCTCAAGTTTCTTTAACAGGCGCCAACATATTTACAAGCTGCTGTTTTATTTATGGTTATATTTAAATGGAGAATTGTTTTTCATCTACCGGGTGGAAGCTAACGTCCATCCATTGTATTTACCCACTTTAAAATGGCTGCAGCTGGTTTCTTGAATTTGCTCTTATTGTGTTTGACCAACATTTAGTTTTTGAGACGCGTTAATTTAAAGCAAGAACGAGGACAAAATCAATAATCATTTGTTCTTAACCAAGTGTAAACAGTCGGTCAATACTGGGTACAACAATGTATTACATCTCTCAAGATGGTTTTTAAAACTACCATTAGTTTCAAGTATTTTTCTGCTGTTTGGCCTTAGTCTCTTGTTTTAAACACAATTTTACTTTATTGATCGTCTGAGGAGTTTGGCAGCTCTCTCTTAGGTCCAATGACAGCATTTCAGTAAGGAATAATAAAAACTATGAAAGTCTTTTTAACTGTACTGCAGATGGTCTCGCATGGAACTAGAATAATTTGAACATCTAAGATTATCAAGTCCGTGACTGAGAGGTGCGAGGGGCAGCAAAACAAGCCCACATCATCATCACTCCACCACTGTGCTTGAAAGTTGCCACAAGGATTTTATGCTGAAATTATTAGTTTTCTGCAAATATGACGCTGTCGTCCCTGCAGCTCGTCTTTACTTTGGTTTCATCTGTCCAAGACCAGTCGAGAAGCCTTCTGGTTTCGACCTGTGCAAACTTAAGCAAAGCTGCCTTTTTAAGGGAAGAAGTTTTTTAACAGCCCTTAGAAACGAGCCAGGCCTGTTTCATATTTGACAATTGCTCTGTAATGAACTTTAACATATTTTGAAACCTGCAAAGTTTAATAGTCCTTTTTAAAAGTTGCACTTTTGACCCAATATATTACGATGTATTAGTCATCTCAGAATGCAGTGGTCTAACTGAGACATTGAGTAATAAAACAATGTAATTGAAAAGACCAAATTAACATTTAACAGCTTTATGAGTTAACTTTTGTTTTGAACGTTAGAGCCCTCTTTTGTCCACAGGTCATAACACATTGAACATTGTCAAGGCTAACTTCATTGCTTTCATTCCTTTGAATATTTTCGAAGACGTTTCAGTTAATTAAATTATATTTGGTTGTATGCTTTCCAAAAGAAACTAAAGCTAAGACACAGTGAATCTTTGTGATTCCACGTTTAACGTCCAAAAATGCAAATACATTAAAAAATAAGTTCTAAAAAAATATCCCTTTAAAATGTAGTTAGGGTCCAAAGTATGAAAAAACATCAAGTTTAAATGCGTTAAGATATAATTATCAATGACAATTTTCTAAAGTGGCCAAAGTTTGTTATGTTCGGAAGGGAAAATCGGTCATCTACTTTCCCACTTTCTTTCAAGTCTTTGAACATCACATAAACTCAATCTCGCATGCGCAGATCCGTAGATTCGAAGTGACGAGGAAGTGGAGAAACGTTAAAGCTGCTGCCGTTTATCTTGTGTTTGGACTGCAGCAGGTATGTAAAATATGCCACGGGGTATTGAATAACAGTGTATTAAATGTAATTAAAATGTTATTTATGTAGAAATTGTGCGTTTATAATGTTTGCAGACAGTGTTTTTGTGTGTAGTATGTAATTTACTGAAAGCCCAACAGCGACACCTAGAGGTCGGTTACATTTACTGCATAGATTTTTTTAGAAAAATACCGTTTGCACTTGTTTATACATTTCTTGTATGTTTTTGTGGGTGAGCCCGTTCTTGTAAAATATTTGACAGATTGAACAAATAACCTCCTAAATTAAATTGGATTACTTTTATATTTGACTGGATTTATGCTTCACAGCTTTTTCCTGTGGCAATGGACTGGATTGGATTTGGCTATGCTGCCGCCATTGCTTTTGGAGGATTTATGGGATACAAGAGAAAAGGTTTAAAGTGTTTATTTAAGGTGAATATAAATCTCAATCATAATTGTTCAGTATTTCATCCTGATCCTGTTTTATGTGTTGGTTTGTCACAGCCAGTGTCATGTCCCTGATAGCTGGTTTGGTGTTTGGTGGATTATCTGCTTATGGAGCCTATAACATTTCTAATGATCCGAAGAACATCCAGGTGTCTCTACGTAAGTACGCCTCCGTTGTATTGTATTTATTACAGCTCTAAAACGTTTTTATGTTGCTTCATTTAACATATGATGTTTTTGTGTTCTTTCAGTTACTTCTGGAGTCCTCTCAGTTGTCATGGGACTGCGATACAAGAAATCTGGGAAATTATTGCCTGCAGGCATCATTACAGGACTAAGGTCAGAGTCAAAATTACTCAATGGAGCAAATTTTGATTATGTAATCAAACTGCTGAGAAACATTAGCTGCATCAGCTGATTTATTCTTGTATTTGCCTTTTTCCCCACAGTTTATTGATGGTGTTCCGCCTTTTGCTCCTGACTGTGGTGTGACAGAGAGCAGCACAGAAACCCTGACTCTTGATGAACACGCCTGTTTTAAAGGGAGCTTAACCACCAAGTTTGTGTTTCTAGGAAGAATCAAGATTAATTATTCCTTTGTTTGTTGTACCCACGTTTTTATGTGTTTGCTGATGCCATAAATTGAGATTAATTGATTTGCAGTTCTTTCAGGAGAGTAGATGATGTTAGGGTTCAACAGCTACTTTACAAAATCAGTTATTAAGCTAAAATCCTTCAGATTGCAGAACAAAACGGCATGTTTAAAGTATTAAATCGGTCACATGTGTTTAACACAAGATTTTAATTTTGAAAAGGTTTTGAGATTTTTGTACTGAGGCAAAACCTAAATAAACAGATGTGATTTGTACAATATTTGTTGCTTTTTTGATTAACTGCTACCAAAAGGCAAAGGTGGACAGTTAGGTGTTTGCCTGTCTGTTATTCATTTATATCACATGAACCGCAGGATGAATATAAATGAAGTAATCACTGTATGTGCGTCTACAACTAATGAGCTTTTGGTTTGTTCAATTTAAGATGGCCAACTGATCTTTGAAAATGCAAAAATACTTATCGAACACTTCATTTTATAAGTGATTGACTAAAATTTGTTGTGGTAGTAGCTGAGAGTAATTCCCAACACAAACTCTGTGCCAACAGCTCCTCGCATCAGAAACGTGACATCAAACGAGCTTTGATCAAAACGACTTTTAACGCTACGATTATCTCGTTTTAAAAACCCTGTGGCACTTTATTAATATTTATACATTTAAAAAAAAACTTTGGAGATAAAAAGATAAGACCATAAACTGAACAAAACACACCAGCTTCTTAAAAGGTCCCCCAAAAATAGCTATTTATTCAGTTCAACTCATCACAGAATTATTAAAAAAAATAGAAATTCAACTGAAGCACAATACATTTATTTTTTGTATTGGATTGTGCGGTTTTAATTTTAACATGAGCCACGTGCACTCACGCCAATCATTAGGAATCAAACTACTCGTAATGTGAGGAATGTGACATCTTTCGATCAGATTATGGAAACGGTGCAGTGATGTTAAACACTTTCAAAACAGTATTTTTGTAATGTTCATCTGGCTGCGGCTTCCTCTTGCTGCCCGGCTGCAGGAACCTGCTGACGGCAGGAATCTGAGTCATTCTGCCCTGGAAAGACTGGACGGAAACACAAAAAAAATTTAAGCCCAGGAGGGACGAGGACTGAGACGTTTTCACAAACTCTAGAGAACACTTTTTACCTTGACGTTTGGAAAGTCTGCGAGGATTGCAGGAAATTTCTCCTCGAGCATCAAGGTGCATTCAACCAGCAGCACGTCTGCAAGGCTGAGCTTACCTCCCACCAGGTAAACGGGTCCACTCAGCGCCTGAGGGGAGTGGTTTTAAACACACAATCATAATTACAACTGGCTGATGATGATGCAAAAAATGGAGATGGCAAAATATGAAGTAACAGATTTTAATGCAACTTTCAGAAAGGCAACGCAAAAGGTGACGGGTGATATTTTTTTGTCCATATTACCTTCTCAAACACAGGCAGGTAGCGCTCTTTAGCTTTAGTTTGAATGTTGTCAAGTTTTGGTTGGGGGTCTGCGACGAAGGGCAGCATCATGATCAATTCCATAAGATCCATCAGTCCCTCAGAGTACATATTGATCCTAAAAGCAATGTTTTATTAATGATCAATCAACAATAATCTGTTAGTTCATAACAGAACAGGAACATACATGGCACGGTCTTTGACATCTTTCCCATAGAGGTTGTATTTCTCTGCAATGTAGTGCAGGATTGCTTTTGTCTGCACGAGTTTCATGCCATCGATTTCCACCAAAGGAACCTGTTGAAACATGAGCTCCCCGTCTGCAGAGAAAACACAGGACAGGGTCAAGGTGGAGCGCAACTTCCTGAAGATAATGAAATTATCACATCCATCGCTCACTACCCCAGTCATAAAATACACCCGAGCTAAATATTTAACCTACTTCCCATTAGGATATAATGCAACACATGTAGGCAGCAGTTCAAGATTAAGAAACTTGGACACAGGTCAAAAAGTATCCACCCACTAGTGCATGTGAGCTGACGTGTTTTTTTTATCTGAACTCACCATTCAGGAGTTTCAGGTACTGCTCTCTGGTTGTCAGGAAAACCTCATCAAACTGTGAACACAAGTCATTATAAGTTGAGAGGTTCAAAGTCTGCAGACTTTGCCATTTTCTTTACTCACCTCCACTTCTGCAACAGTCAGAAGCCAACGGATTGACTCCATTCTCCCCCTCCCGTTGAAATAGTGCAGAGTAACTTTTCCAGACATGGCGTGTTCTAAACTCTGAAAATAAAAATAACTGAATTTATTAATTCAAACAGAATTAAAGCAAAGACACGGCCGTGAAATCAATCGCTGAGTAAAATGTTATAGGCGTGTTAAAACTTAAAAGATCTGATTGGCGAGTTTTGACCAATAGAATGACAAGAGTCATGAACATGTTGGCGCAAAGCCTCATGGGTAAAACATTACTACATTTACTTGTTTTTGGAATTTTCTGGTAAGTATGACGTCAAATCGTATAAATTCTACATATTTATAACGCTGTAAAACTCTTCGCTCGTGACAGCAAATATTCCGTTTTATGAAACCGTAACGAAAATTGGTTTCTGTATCCACTCACATATAAACGTAGCAGCCATCTTTAATTTTTCGGATGTGAGGGCGATCTGGCTGCGACATCTGTCACCCCATTGATCGCTAGGGTTGATTCGGCTGATCTGGCTGGCTAGGCGGGTGTCCCCTTCCTCCCTCACAGCTCCATATGTGTCCCTCCCGAAGCCCTGCGCTCGGTGGCAGCGGACGATGTAGGACGACCATCCTTCGGTGTACCAGTAGCTGCGCTCCCCTGCTAGAAACTCCAAACAAGCTCAAGGCCAAAAGGAGAAACGTAGGGAAGTCAAGCTCCAAGCTTCAGACACATCCAAATGCGGCGCTGCACGTGGCAGTCTGCCTTCCTTTTTACAGCATGCGCAAGGAAAGCTAAGCTAACTAGCTTAGCTATGCTAAGTAGCTTAGCATACTATACCATTCCTCCTCTAGGGGTGCTACAAATACATGCAACAACTATTATTTTCTTGTATTAATCTTATGAAATGCTTTGAAGTACCAATGAGCTTAAAACTCGCTTAAAAAAAAACAAAGACCAAACAAGAAAATACAAGTGAAAAATTTAAATATTTACAATGTCCTAAAGAGATTAATTCTTTTCATTATGAATTTGAATTAATAAGTATTTCAAGGTATTATTAGCTAAAATGCACGATAATGTTATATTAATATATATTTAGTAAAACTACATATAGAAATCAACATTGATTACTTACATATTAATATCAAATAATATCGATTAAATATTATAATAGTAGGCTAATCCCATCAAAACCTTGAAATACCCAAGACATATATATATACTTCTAGGTCTAACTAATCATCTTATTTATAGATATTATATAGGTTAATTTTTTTGTTTTGACACCTTCCTGCCAGTTTTAAATTTAACTCTTTTTCAAGATCTGATCTGTCTTAAGGATGACTCTTACTATCACCACACCAGATTTTACTTCAATATCTGTAAAACTGGCTGAGTTGTAACTATTTTTGTTTTGACCATGGTTAATTAGCAGTGGCGGCCATTTTTAATTGGGCCTAAATGCTAAGCAGTTGTCAATGCATGAGTTTCTGATGACAAACCATTAGCAAAAAGATCATTAGAAAAGTTAGTTATGGTAACTCTGTACACGTTTTGACTCCAAATGGACCAACTCTGGGACGCTATTTTACTTGCAGTGCTTAAGCTCATATAGCACTATAAGACACCGTACCGTGTTCAAATTGCTAGGATTAGGAATTACTGTACCTGTAGACTTCAGAAATAATATTTTACACTTTTTGACCCAATAATTTTTTTAAATGATCATTTTAATGCATAAATCATGCAAACGAGTATCACTTGCAGTGATCATTCAGCTGTACAGTACGGCAAACACTTTCAATTTGTCAACTTATAAATTAAAGTCTCGCTCACATTTCACTGAAAGCATTCAGTACACATCAAATATCTGTAAACAAAAAGGAAATAATATAAAAACAAATGGCTTTATCAAATTGAGGCAAAACAAGTCATCTGTAAAAAATACATCACAGTGAAAGTTGTATACTGTCATAAGCATATTATAGAATGTATACATGTGAGTAAACGACATTCACGACATACAAAACTGAGGTGTGACCTCTTCCTTGACAGCAGTTATATTACAGAGGAATTAAAAAAAGACTGGGGGGGCTTCACTTGAATTTTGGTTTATCGCATTGAACCAAACGTAATATTTTACAACTCACAGCGTCCAAAGTATACATAATGAAACTAAGTTTATTGCTGCTGTTTAAGGTTTATTTACAGAACAGGACTGTAAAATAACTAGGCCTACTCTTTGGAAAGGAAAGAGTTCTCAGAGCACAAATCAGAGCTCAAGGCAGGCCACTAACGGTGTCCATATTTGGTAGTCCAGTCTGGGCGCCCATGAATGGTCTGTAATGGCGGGCGGGGCAGCAGACTGTATGTGCTCTTGTTGGCTGTTGGCGTGCTGGCTGAGGGGTTCATTTGGCTCCGACCCGACCGCCATGTTGCATAATCTAAAACAGCAATAAACACACAATAAATAAAGGCTTTGTGTTAAAAAGGTCACGTTATGCTGCTCAACATGTACTCACTTGACGCCGTTTCTCCTGAAGCACCCTGACGCCCTCTGGGACCAGCAGAGCCGTTGTCCTTTTTGTAAAATGATGGCATGTATCCACCTGGGATTGTATTTGTGCCTGATGAGCAGAACAAACATGTACTTTACATTTAGCTTCAACAAGAAGTTTAATAGGTGACAGTGAGGTTACCGTGAGCTCCTCTGCTCGGCAGAGTCCCGCCAAATGGAATACTGCTGCCGCCCCAAAGATGGCTTCCTGTGTACTCTTTACTGGCATTTATGGCCACGTTCTTCTTAGTAGTAATGCCTGAAGGAAACAAAAGAAGAATAAATGCATATTGTACTTGTATAAATACGTAATACAGCCCAATACAGGATCTGTAAATTTTCAAGCGACGATCAGGTACAGAAAAAAAACAAGTACTTACTGGGTATTTACTGATACTTTTTGTGTCTGTGCCCAGTACTCAAGGGTACATAATGGGTACTTACTCTTAGGCCTGTCACAATAAATTAAATATTAAACCAATTAATCACATGATAAATGAAAATTATCATCATTTTCATTTATCAGCTTTATCATTTCTTCATGTCTCTCTTTCTACTGAAGACACTAATTTCTGAGACAATTAATCGCCCAGCAAAATTTTTTATCGTGACAGGCCTACTTACTCTGTATTTACCTGGTGTATAATGAAATTTTACCAAGACACAGAGGCAGTGCATACCCAGTAAGGACCAGGTACATGCTCGATATGTATTTGGTACATTCCAAATACTTACCAGGCATGTACTTAGTACTTATTTGGTACTGGGTACCCAGTAAGCACCTGAATTCTGCCCTACAAGTACTAGGTAAATACTAGGCTCACACAGACAAATAGTTTAAAAAAAGAAAGTTTTTTATTACCAGGTAAATATCTGGACTGCCTCAGGTAATGCTGTTTGGCAGAGGCAGTTCTTGACGGCTCTTGATAGGCTGCAGCTTTGTTCAGGTTTAAAGGTGCGTCTTCTTTCCCACTGGGTCGACTGAAATCCAGAATATTTCCAAACCTGCGGGACACGAGAAGAAGGCGACCATAATCACGTATTGACGGTATTCAATTTGATCTTTACTGCTTTCTGAAAACAAGAGATAAAAATCATCATTTCAATAAAAGACTTGCTTCACCTGCTCAGAGAGTCTTCTCCCGGCCTCGACTTCACAGAGAGGTTATTTTTTCCGAGAGCACCCACCGAGGACAGATCAGTCTCTTCGTAGTTGTCCCAGTCTTGTCCTTTGAGATGTCCAGTTCCGTGTCCCCAGCGCCGCCGCCCTCCTCCTTTAGGTTTTATATAACTAAGCAGGTTTGCGTTGTCTGACTCCTGCTGTGTTTGCTGCAAAACAATCAACATCAATGACATCAGAGGTATTTTCCACACCAATCGTTCTAGTTTCTGATGAAACTGGTGGAAATTGTGACATTTATCACGTCAGGATGAAATGGGTCTGCAACGTTTTAGATCAAAACAGACATTTCTACCTTTCACTTACTAAACAAAATGTGTCTGGAGCCACAAAACCTGCTACAATGGTGTTTATCAACTGGTGGCTCATGGGCCACTTCAAATTCGTGTGAAGGGGTTTTTGTTTCCAGCGAGCAGGGTTGATTTTTATAAAACAAAAATTATATAAATCAATTTTAACATTATTTTTATTTTTTTTCATTTTAGGGCTAAATAAAAGACCACATTCATGTAAAAAAGGGGGAAAATATATATTTCATACCAATTTTACAAAAAATTTTAACCCCAAACTCTGCAGGTTTATGAGTTTTCCTTTTAATTTTAGAAAAATAAAAATAATTATGTATGCCACTTTAAAGTAATAAAAGCATAAATTTAATGTCTAAATATTGGTCTGTTTTGTTGGCTATGTAAATGTGACATTAAAATTTTAATTCAAATTTTATATTTACTTTAACTTTAATTAGATCCATCCCTTCCTCCCAAAGAGTTTCTGGTGGATTTCAGAGAAAGATCCACTGTCAGGCCAGAAGTTGGATAAACGAAGTAGCTAAAGCTAATCAACATTATTTTCTCCTTGTTTTGGCAATTTCACTTAAACATTTGCAGAAAAACTGCTAAAACTTGTCATTTCTCTTTACAGTGGGTATAAAAACCAACAAATTCACATATTGCATTATGTTTGGTCAAAGCTTCAAGGAGCCGCAGCCCAAGGACCAAAGAGCCGCAGGTTGCAGACCCCTGGGGTAGATACACCATCATCGTGCTCACCTTGCTCTGCAGGCTCTTGTCCATGATGTAAGGTAGACGGCTCTGTGGCATTCCCTCCGCCTGTTCCTGCTTCGAGATGTGCTTCGGCTGCTGCTGCTCTCGCACCAGCTCTGTGTGCCGCTGGTACGCCGCCGCCTGTGCAGCTGCTGGTGCAGGGGAGGGCTGGATCTGCTGGAGAGGCCTGGACGGGGGACAGTGATGGTTCGAAGGTGGAGGCTGAGAGGGGGGCATCGGCTTCAGCAATAGAGACTGCTGCTGCCGCTGCAGAGATTGTTGTGACTGCAAAGGAGTCTGCAGATGCACAAGGCCTGGATGAGGTCTGCCCTGCTCCAGGATCTGCTGAGGAGTGCCCAAAGCCTGGCCCACGTGGAAGTATGAGTACCTGAGAACCTAAAAACACCCATACAGCTTTAGTTTGTATTGTTTGTTCAGCTGTGAGGACGACGAGAGGTTAGGACAGATGCTACCTGAGCAGAGGCTGGTCTCTTCTTGGGATCCCACTGAAGCAGGTCTGTCATCAGATGGACGGCTTCAGGACTGGCATGTGGGATCAGCGTCATCAGATTATTGGGAACACACTGAGGCCAGCGGAAGTTCATGGCACTGGCCAGCTGGTGTCCCTCTGGCCAATCGGTCTAAACAAACAAACACAGCTACACATGACAAAAGTCACATATCAACACAGAAATCACACAATCATACACACAACTGGATTTGTGCTCCTTAACAGAAATGTTCTATCCAGTAGGAGCAGGCGTTCAAATCTCATTTTCAGTTTGTAAATATCACACATTAACATGACATACAAGTTAAAAACCTTTCCTGTGCGTTCAAAATGTGTTTGTCTTTTAATCTAACAACACATCCTGTTTTAGAAACTATTATAATATCCAAAAACAAAATTTCAAAATCAATGTTTCACAATTATTGCTTGTGTTGCATCATTGACTAATCTCTGAATGAGAATAAGACCATTTGCCAGCGGTCTCACAGAATTATCCAATCTTAGCTGTGATGTACCGTATTTTCCACCGTACATGTCGCACCGCCCAGTAAGTCACATCAGTCCAAATATGTTTAATAAAGTGGAAAAATCCATAAATACGTTGCATCTATTATGCATCACCGCTGACGCATCGCGTTTGTTACGCGTCAGCGGAGACATCCGGCCCGTGTGCCAAAAATTGATTGGCTGCCAAATGGCGGCCACGGGAGCGTGCACAGGAGGACTTTAACAATAATTTAACATGATTAACACTTAAAAACAAGTATTTGTCTGCTCAAAATTATATCAAACATGTGTCTCAGTCTAACTTTTCTTTAATAAATGCACTTTGACGGTCAAATCAGCTGCATTTCAAAAACCGATACGTGGAAGTAGAAACGCGCAGAGGCACAACTCGCTGCGCATTTCTTCAAAATTTAACAAGATAAACGCATAAAACAATTATTTGTTTGCTCGACTTTATAGCAAAGGTGTGTCTCAGTTGAACTTTTATTTAAAAAATGCACTTTAATGGTCAAATCAGCTGCATTTCACTGGGGCGGCGCAGTAAAATGAAGCTGATTTGACGGATGCTCCAGGCGAGCTGGACAAAGGGAGTCGATGGCAAGCCGATTGTGTCATTAATAGCCATTATTACCAATTACATGACACAATGGTATGCCATAATACTCAAGTGCCATCTAGCGGCTGAAAAGTGTAGTGTTCAATATTTTCAGTCAGAATGAATGAAAATGATCATATCTCAGCCAAAAATAGGTTTATAAATATGGGAAAAAAAACATAAATAGGTCACTTCGGTGTATAAGTCGCAGGGCATGCAAACTATGCAAAAAAACCCCTGTGACTTATAGGCTGAAAGATACAGTAGTTCATATTTTGGAGAGAAAAAAGAAGATCTGATTATTTCTGCTTTGTGTTGGCGAAACATTACCTTCTTTGGTGTACCCAAGACTTGGCAAATCTTGAATATGGTGTCTACTTCACTGGATCCTGGGAAAAGAGGCCTGAGAGTGTAAAGCTCAGCCATGATGCAGCCGACTGCCCACTGGTCTATGGGGGAACTGTAGGACGTGGACCTGAGCAGCACCTCTGGAGCTCTGTACCTGGTTCAAAACAAACACTGGCACCTTAAAACCCTCTCATTTAGGCAAAGCCTACACGCTTTATGTTTCCAAAAGAAACTCACCATCTGGTTGAGACGTAGTCCGTGTATGGTGGTCGAGATCGGATCTCGCGGGCAAGCCCAAAGTCAGCTATTTTCACCAGCTCTGGGCCCATGCACAGAAGGTTCTCCGGTTTCATGTCCCTGTGGAAGAAGCCTAGCAGAGACAGAATGCATCAGACTCAGACAGGATAAAATATCTCTTTTACTAAATCAGATTTAGCACCTCCACTCATCAACACACACCATGTTTGTGAATAAACACCAGTCCCTGAAGTATCTGAAACATAATATTCCTGACAGCGGACTCGGGAAACAAACGTGCCCTGCAGTGAGAAAGAAAAAGCTTACATATACGTATTTAAATGAACATTAAAAAGGGAACACAAGAAAAAAATAAATAAATAACTCACCTATCTTTCATTAGCTGATACAAATTTTCCTTCATGTACTCGAATATGAAGTACAAGTGATCATTTTCTCGGATTACCTCCTTGAGTTTGATCACGTTTGTGTGGTTGAGTTTCTTTAGTGACTGAAAGAATAAAGAGGTTCGTGTCAGCAACCCGTCCACACGTAAGAATCACAAGTGATAAAGCTGACCATGCTGGACAGTGCAAACGGGTCATTCAGCAGCATTATTAATTACTTTCTAATTAAAACATGGGCAGTGACATTTTAGGGAAAGTGGGATTTCTGCTGAAATTTAGTAATTCAATAACAAGGATGGAGAAATGCACCGTTTTCCCATGCACTGGGGGGATGGTTCTCTAACCATGCTACATTTTAGTAAAGAGGCAGAAGCTGCTGCTGGAGTGGCGCTGTAAGCGTTGCTCTGAGGTTAAGCTCTGGGGAAAAAAAGGGACGGGTTCAAAATCTGCAGCACGCAAGAAAATCACCTTCTGCTCTGAGAGCTGCTGAGAGCTAATTTGGACGGTAACGTATTAAACTGGTATGAAGAAAAGGAAAGACAGCTTTGGATTGGTATTAACATCATAACATGATAAAATACAGATGTTTATTTTGAGATTTTCCCCATTTCCTCTGCTCTGCTATAAACATGCATGGAAGCATTTCATGTTATAAACGCACCTTGACTTCTCGGAGGTTCATGCATTCTTCCCAGGAGTAAAACTTGCGTTTCATTCTGAAAATAGATCATTATTTTGGTTGAATAATCTTGGAACAATGTACTTTCTATTGGTGGGAAATGTCTGTATACCCACTTCTTTATGGCAACAAGCTCTCCTGACTCCAGACTGCGGCCGAGGATGACGGAGCCATAGGTGCCATCCCCGAGCTGTCTGATGGTGGTGTATCGGTTCATTGTGCTCGTCCTTCCATATTATCCGTGAAGGCAGGTAACAATTAGGAGGAAAAACAGATGCGTTCACGTCCTACTGCTGAATGCAACCAGATTTTTCTGTGACAACAGCAGAAGAACGTGGGCGGCACCGGTGGACTCATGGCGTCATGAACTCACTTCCTTCGTCAAGCTGAGGAGTAGCAGGAAGGAAAACGCAAACAATACTATTACTTCACAACAACTACTGCGCAAAAATTAACTCCAAAAAATGAGTTTATGGTTGGAAAACGTGTCATTACTGCAAATGAAGGTTTCCTAAGAGGTGAACTGTGGTCTTGATCCAGAACAAATGAAGCGTTATCTGGACCTGATTTTTAAACTTTCATAGAATGAAAATGTGAATAATAATAATAATAAAAAAAAGTTTTACTTGTCCACATTTTCTAGTATTTACAGTATTTTATGCAGCACAGCTTTTCTCGCATTTCTCCTTTTATGCAGTGCAGCTTTTCTACAATTGACAGCAATTCATTTAAAGAAGTGCCGCTCATTGTATGCTATGCAGCTTTTTTTTATAAAAGTTTACTGTAACTCATTTCAAGTGGAACACCCTTTACGATTTATAGTGATTTTGCCACTTTAACCAACATTTAGACTTTAGGTTTAGGGTTTTCTCTGCTTCCTTCTGCAGAGAGAAGCTGTCAGCTCACAAAGAGGCTCAGGTGAGTGAATTAAACTAATAACTATTATATTATTACTAAACGAGAATTTAAATGATATGTATATTCTGGACCTTTGCTAGAGAAAAATGCCTTTAAGTGGAGTATGCTGAATTTCAATTGAAGACCACGCGTGTGGATGTTTGGATTTTGTTGAACGTTCAAATTCAGATCAAAACAATCGATTTAAAGGTTTCCATCGTTTTCAGCTCCCGACCCTCAAAACAGCAAAGGCACAAACTTGTAATAAACACATTTAACACTGGATGAAGTGTATAAAAATCAAGTGAACTGGGATATTTTGATGGAGATTTTATTTTGGTTTTGCGCTGTTTAATTTGGATCTTGTTCAATCTGTTGTTGTGTATTAAATACAGTTGTAAATATATTTCTCAAGCATTTAGATCCATCTAACAACTGTTAGAAGAGTTTATATCAGACTACTGATTTTCATATCTTTGATAATTATACCAAATGTGATATCTTGGTGAACTTTGTTTGTTTTCTGGAGATGATCAATCACTTGTTGTTTCACCTCGTTTATGTAATTCACAGTTTTTTCCATAATGCATATTCGACAAAATAAAAAAATGTTGCTGTTTTTATGTGCCATTTCAGTAAAGAGGCCTCCACAGTAATATATTTTCTAATTTAATATAATGAGGAAAAAATGTGGAAAACTTCGAAAAATATTAATCAGGGAACAGTTTACAAATTTGTTGGATTTAACCAGAATAAAAGATAGAAAGCACGAATGACAGTGTTCATTAGTTTAGTTTGCATTACTGTAAAAACGGTAATTTCACACTCATGTTAGCTCAGATTGACCCAGTTCGGTTACAACTCGCCCCGAGTGTTTAACGTTAAAATTTAACGTGTGCTCAGAGGCTGACAGGGTTAATGATTATTTATTGTGCAGCAGACTGGCTGCTGTTAGCAAAGCTACTGCTAGCAAAACATAACGCTCAAATTCTCTGATGCTGCAGTGAAAACAGACAGAGAAGACAGCTGATCCTGTTTCCAGAGTAAAATAAATACTCACCCTCCCAGATTTAGACCGAAAACAACTCATAGTAAAACATTTGTAGCCGATGTTTAGCTAATGGCACCAGACAGTCTTTTAAATTGCACCGTTATTAACGAGCGAGCCCTCTACAAAAAGTAAATTAATTTACAAGCTGGGGCCTCTCGTCAGAGATCTCGACCAAATCTCGCGATACTACGAAACAAGGGTTTCCTCAATCACAGTCGTCGTTAAGATTTATTTAAAAAAAATGACTAAACATTATGATGTTTTGTTGCATCTTATTATCCTACGCGACGATACGTACTGAAAGTCATTGGAAAAAAATTGTGGCAAGTTATGAAGCTTTAGTTTGTTTTTTTCTTATTTGGTTTTGTGTGTTTTCTGATTCTGACAACCAAAAATGTACCACGCTGCATTCAAATGCCAAGCAATCTTCATCGAGTTTTTTCTTAAAATAGAGTAAAAGTCAAAAGTTACTCTGAAGTTCACAATTAAACAAATATTTGATGTTAAATGCAAAGATACAAAAAAAATTATCATAAAGCAAAGGCGGAAGTGAAGTACAGGTAACTCTCTTTATCCGAAGTAATCTTTGAATAAATCTGTGCCCTGCATGCCTTACAACCAAATAAGATAAAATTATTCTCAAATTGAACATTATAGCTTTGGAAAACGCACATCTGGTTTTAACATTTTATCTTTTAGATCAAGTAGAGAATATAAAATAATCATTAGTTGCACGTTCTCTTGTTTTTATACTGTCTTAAATTTGTTGGATAAATGTAATTTAAATATTCTTGTTAACTACAGTTCTAACTTTTTAATAAAGCAGTTGAACGTTTGTTTTCTGTTTAATTTATATAAAAATGGATCTGGAACTGTCATTTGTGTAAAATAATGTTTTCATCTCTACAATGTTGCTTTATCCTGCTGCAATCAACAAAAACCCCATAACAACATTTGATGTTTTTACTGGAAATGCTCATTTTTGTACATTAATTTTTAATAATGCACAGTCATCAATTCTTTTATGTGTTTTTTCTCCAACATTAACAGACAGCAGCATCACTTGCAGCCTTCACATTTTACCTTTGTTACTTTTGTTTAAAACAGGTCTCTCTTGGAAATGAAAGAGACTAAATGAAAGTTGAATACATCAAACATTCACACTTTTTGTCTGCAAAGATCAAGTTGGTCTTTGCAGACAAGAAGTGTAAATTGTTTGCATGGGGGAGGCTGAGGCATTAAAGCATTTCAGGAATGTTGGCCATGTAATCAAATAGTGAGAGCAAGCAGAAACGTATTCAGGGCAAGAAGGAAAACAAGTCCTCTTTGGTAACTTGTTGAATTTGTTAGGTTTCCCAACGTAAGTCTTATTTTGTGTTGTTTTAATGTGATAATTTATTTATGAACAAATGTAATTATTTTTACTTAACTCTAAATAAAGTGTTCTCATGACTGCAGGATATGAAAATAAAAAAAAAAGTTCATATTTTGTTTAGCAGCAGACTGAGTGATAGATGGAGTGAGTAAAGTAAAATAGGCCATCATGATGTGATGTATTTGGTGGGCAGCATCCATGTCCTGCATGCAAACTACAAACTAATATATTTGCCTGTACAATTTTTACATATGCACATATTAGAGCATTTGGTACCCATTTTTATACAGCATAAGCCCCCCAAAAAAGCTTTGTAGAAAGGTTTAAGCCACATTTTTGTTTTCTTAAATAACTTTATCTTTCATGCAATCATGAAAAACTTAATGTGCCAATTAGTGTGTCAACTGATTAATTAAAAATGGCCCAGTGAATTTACCTGTACCAACTGTGAAGGAAATATATTATTTATCGATCTGCTTCCAGATACATTACAGTATGTATGCAATATGCTTTATCATTTTACAGTATTAATAAACTTTATAACCATTTTTATTACTTTAAGTTCATTGTGAATGAAATTACCAGTACAATGTTTTCATTTTCAATTCAATTGTTAGGGTGATTGCTAACTCTAAATTGTCCCTAAGTGTGAGTGAGAGAGTGAATGGTTGTTTGTCTCTGTGTGTCCCTGTGATGGACTTGCGAGCTGTCCAGGGTGTCCCCCGCCTCTCACACAGTGATCGTTGGACATGAGCACCAGTGACCCCCGCGACCTGAAAAGGAAGAAGTGGGTAAAGATAATGGATGGATGGATGGATGGATGGATGGATGGATGGATGGATGGATTGATTGATTGATTGATTGATTGATTGATTGATTGATTGGTGGATGGAGTATGGGTCCAAGCACTGAATCTTGAGGAACTCCATGACTAACTTTGGTGTATGAAGAAGATTCATTATTTACATTTACAAACTGTAGTATATCAAAGAAATATGATTTAAACCATTTTAGAGTTGTTCTTATAATCCCAATATCATATTCAAGAAGAATATTGTGATCAGCACTGAGGTCTAACAGGACCAGTTTAGACACAAATCCATTATCAGAGACCATGAGAATATCATTAGCAACTTTCACCAGTGCTGTTTCTGGATTATGATGAGCTTTAAACCCTGACTGGAACTCCTCAGATTATTTCTGTTCAGATGTTCACACCACTGACCTGCAACTATTTTCTCTAGAATTTTTTTTGATGAATGTTAGATTAGAATTGGCCAGAATTCCTGAATTCAGATCACGTTACTTAAGTAAACGTTTATTACAGCAATCTTAAAGTACTGTGGTACATAACCCTTCGTTAAGACAAATTAAGCAGATCCTAAATGAGTTTATTAATTATGGGAAATACCTCTTTAAACAGACTGGTTGGGATGGGATCTAGCAGACATGTGGAAGGTTTGGATGAAACTAATGTTTTTGACAATTCAGAGAGCTCAACAGAGCTAAAATAGGTTCTAGTGACATTTTTAAAGCTGCCTCATCTGACAGGGAATCAGAGACAATAGCAGGAAGGATGGTGGTAATTTTATCTCTTAATTGAAATAATTTATAAAGAATCTCATGAAGTCATCACAGCTGTAAGGATACATGGCTTAACAGAGATAGGACTTTTCATGAGTATAGCTACAGTACTGAACCGAAACCTGAAGTTTTTAATTATCATCTATTAAAGATTAATAATATACAATTTTCAATTTGATAATTTATCGTCTGCAGACAGAGAACATACTGTAACGGAGTCTGTGGTTCATCATTTTGTTTTTCCACTTTGTGCGAGACCTTTAATGTTGTGATTCATTCCCAAGGAATCTTTAAGAAACGTTCATCTCCAGCGGCTCCCCTGTGCCTCTGCTTGCAGGTGTGGGTCAGGTTTGGGCTGGTTCTGATAAGGCGAAGGGGTGGAGGAGGTCCTGATGAGTTTTCTGAAAGCAACTTTTTCATTGCAGGAAGTTTGAATGAATCAGAACTCAACCAGAACAAGGCATTAATAATTAATACTCTCTGTGGGTCTTTGTAATAATTTAATGACCTGATCATCTCGGAATCCATTTTTTTTTTCTACGGCACCAACACTAAGGCATTTTTCAGACTTCTGAACAAATTGGAGCAAGATTTTGTACTAAATTACTGGAATTTTTACATTTTTGCTCATTATTTATTTTTTATTTTTTTATATTTGGCATATAGATAAACATGCAAGTGATATGTAAAAAAAATCATATTAGTTCCATACTTAACCACTAGAGAACCTTAGACCTAAGCACTTGTTTGTGAAAATAGTCTATTTGATGGGGCCATTAAAATAATAATTTTAATGGGTATTTAAAAGAAATATTCAAGCCTTCAATCCCTGAAGGGTTTCCCTACATTCACTGAAGGGTTAACTTACATTTAAAAAACTGTGTTTATATTTCATTAAATTTATTTAAAAAGCTGTGTGTTTATGAATCAAATTACTCCAGACACTTTTTTATCTTCAGAAATTGTTTATTTTGTATTACTATAAATATAATCCACCACCTTTTACTTTGCAAGAAACTAATATTATCCCATTTAAAGATTTTTTTTCCTGTATCTTGATTCATTTTTTAAATCAAGCATACAATTTATACATTTAAACATACAACGCGGTTGAAAATAGTTTGCTATGACGTAAGTCTGAACTGGTGTTTTGATTTATTTTAGTGTTTGTTTGTTTTTTTATACAATCAAATGATTTGAAATACATTTAAAAGATTTTTCCACAGTACGTCCAATTTACGATCTGCGTAATAAAAATCTATTGCAAACGCTATACAACTCTGTAAATATACAAGTAACGTATACACTTTTACCTTCTTTTGCTCAGTGTTTCTAGATCTTTGAAGATTCAGTGTACAACCCCTGGAAAGCAACTGTGCAATTGTTTGTTTGAGGCTTACTTTTCAGTCTGCGTTTCTGTCTACCTTATCTTAAACAGCAGCAGCAATTGGCACCCTTCAAAAGCTGTTCGGGGATGTTTCAAATCGAATGAGTTGCTGTCATATTCGACAGTATGCTTTTTATTATCGTTATTTTGATTTGCAAAACTGTCGCAGCCACGTGAAGCACGGAGCTCTCCGAAGAGAAGCAGGAGCGCCTCGGCGCTGCTCCTCCGTCCACCTTCGGCTCACTTCCTGTGTCACACACCGAGGCTCCGGGGCCGCTCAGCAAGATGGCTGCGTTCCTCCGAGCTCGTAAATATGTCCGCTGCGTGGTCCGTTTCTCCGACCGTGAACTGTAAACGGTACCGTTGACCATCTGCGAACACAACGAGGAAAGCCTCAAGCCAAAGTGTTATGGTGGGTCGCCATGTTTTAGCTGTTTGTTTAAAGAGATAAACAAGTTCTCCTGCTAGCTAGGTTAGCTAAACAAGTTCACCTGCTAGCTAGGTTAGCTAACGCAGCTAGCATCACCTGGTTTCCGCTTAAGGTAACTTGTAACCCGACTCGGTCCGCTCGGTTAGGTACCAAACTGTTTTAACCTGAATTTAGCTGTTGTTTATTCACCTACTCACAAAATATCTTAAAAAATATTTTTGTTTATGCTAGCCCAAGGTAACATTAGCATCACTAATGGGCGAGAGAAGTAGTTGACATGTTTGCAAGTGTTATCTACTATAATTTTTGTCGAGTCTAGTTTAATTATTACGTTATTTAATTTTGATAATCTAATGCATAATGTATATTTTCTGTTCAGAATGATGTTTTGCTACGGTTTATTGCGCTGTTTGTCTCGAGCAAAAAGGAAGTGTTTCACATTTGCGTTTTGGCATCACACTAGCATGGGCTTTGTATGTAAATTACCAGCATCACTAAACTGTAAATATATATATCAAAACAAAGAAATAGTCAAGAAAGCAGGATGTTTAGCATAAAATTTCAAAACAAGAAGAATCACGTAATAACACAGGTAAGACTGAGGAGGAACTTAGCCACAGTCCCAAAGTAAGGACAAATAATATATACTCAAAAAAAATTATTTAAATAGCTGTGTGAAATCAAAGTGTTTGTTTTTTTTGTCTGTGTAACTTCACGTTTCCTCCTTATTGTGTTATCCTGTTAAATTAACATCAATTTGAATAAACATCCTTCCTACATCTGCATTTTAGGTCAAATAACCTGTCAAATGTGCCACCTTAATTATAAAGTAACCTCCGCTCTAATATAATGAGAAGCTTTATTATGGCACGTTAAGTGTTAAAGTCTAAAGTGCAGAGTAGACTAAAATTCAAAACTGTTAAGACTTTATGTGACCCGTGCCAGCAAAATGACTCTAAGCGGTGCAAACATCATTTGCATAAAATTGTGTCAATAAAGTCACCATAAGTCTATCCTTGTAACTAAAGTAGCAAATAAACTTCCTCATCTTTAAATTAGTCTTCTAACAGGCATACTTTGAGAAGTTATCCTTTTTATTCTACTCCTTTTAATATTATTCCCGATGTTTTACCTCCAGACCGATAAGTTTTCACATAAACAAAGCTAGTTGTTGCCAGACCAGGTGATAAATCACCAAATTTCAACAAGCAACTCATCACTTTTTCAAGCTTTTGGGGTGTCACACTTGAAAATAATACCTCAATGTTGAAATTTGTTTTTTATTGTGCCTTCTTTTGCCAGCACGGATAATTTATTATGACTGGTCAGCTCCTAAAACAAACACATCTATATGAGTTTTGGTTAAAAAAAAAAAAAAAAAAACGGTAATCATGGAATTTTGACACATTTCCTCCTTCCAAAACTAGACTAGAATATAGTCTTTGTCTGTTTGTACAGGCTGAAGAAAATTCAAATATTGAAGGTATGTTGGAGGAGGACGAAGATGACAGTTCAGATGAACCAAACATTCAGGTGAGAAAACTGCACTGGAATCAATATTATGAAATAGTTTGTGTTTTTAGTCTTTTTTTTTGTTTGTTTTGCTTGTGTATTTCTGCTCTGCACCTCAACTGAACTGTTCAATGAATATTTTCTCACCTAGTTGTGTAGACCTATAAAGTTAAATTAACATTGTACCCAGGAGTTCATGCTCGCAGAAGCTACAAGGAGAGAAGCTAATTAGGCAACAATTACAGTAGTAAATGTGAATATACAAAAAAAAAATGTTTTCAGTGCAAAGTATGAAATCAAACATGAAAACGTTATTCTGTACTCAATCAGATGGTGCAGTTTTAAGATGTTTACGTTTATAGCTTTTCAGATGTATCGAATGCCGTTCAATACTAGGTCCACACTCAAAGTAAACGAAGCACTCAGCTGAATCTGCTGTTGGCAACGTTAACGCTTGAGTCACATGACTGACCTTCAAAAACTGGCTGTAGTCTGTAGGTCGACACACACATGATAGTGGGAAGCTTTTAATTTAATCGATTAGTCGATCAAATTCATTTCACTTGTATTTTTTTTTTTATAATGGGAGAAATTGACGTTTCTTCTTCTGCGAAAAAAAATTGTATTGAGTGTTGTTATTTTTTGACCTGCCAGGTATTATTAAATCTTATAGTTTAAGATGATTATCGTTGTTGAACTATATTATTGAGGCATTAAAAGAAATGTGAAATGCCCTTCAGAAATCTTTTTTTGTTTACTTTATTATGACTGAAACCTACAGTGGCGCTTGAAAGTTTATGAACCCTTTATAATTCTACATTTCTGCATATAAATATGACCTAAAACATCATAAGATTTTCACACAAGTCCTAAAAGTAGATAAAGAGAAAACAGTTAAATAAACGAGACAAAAATATTTCACTTGTTCGTTTATTTATTGAGGAAAATGATGCAGAAATATAGACAATTCTAAAGCGTTCACAAACTTTCAAGCACCGCTGTAATTGTTGAGACCGTTGTAAACTGTGGTGTTGTGAATGAAGTGATTGAATATTTTTGGTGTGTTATTTTCTATGTAATATATTTTTGCAGCTGGAGCTCACTGCGTTCAGAGCTCAGTGGATGTCCGAACTCAAACCCAGCTCCGGGGCGAGTGACCGACTCGCTCGAGCTAAAGGCGTAAGGAGGACTCAAGAAATTGCTCGGGAAGAAAAAGCAAGTTGTTGAAACGTTTTCTTTAGTCTGCTGCAGTGTGTTTAAATAAGACGTGCGCAGACTGACGGATTGTTCTCTCTCAGGCCACAGAGTTGTTTCTGAGAGCTGTGCAGGAGGAGCAGAATGGGGCCGTCTATGAAGGTATGTAAGCAGGACGTAGGGATGTGGGTTAATCTGTAGATGCTTCATATTGCATGTGAATAATCTCAGCTGAGTTTCGTTTTATAGTCATCCTCAGTTCTGTCAGAGCGCAACAAGGGTTTCCCTTTTTTTTAAATAAAATAAAATTAGCTTTATCTGATCTGTTGTTTTTACCTACAGCTATCAAGTTCTATCGTTTGGCTATGCAGCTTGTTCCCGACATCGAATTTAAAATCAACTACAGCCGTCCTGCTGACACGGACAGAGGTGGAGGAAACTTGTAAGTTGTCGTTGCATTTACGTTTATGACTTTCAAAACTTAACCGATTTGACGCTTTTACACTAAAAATGGTTTTCAATGGCCGCTGAGGAGTAAAGATGCATAGTTCACTGCACACTGTTTCATCAGACACCGAGGATAAACCCAGATTCAAATGTTTGGCCGACCCAGTCCCACTACAGCAAACACAAGTTGTTTTTTTGTCTGTGACAAATTTTAAAGTCTTGACTCCTAATTGAGTTTCTTTGTTCTGTAGCAGTGAAGACAGCTATGCAGACTGTGAGATTGAGGATCTACTTGCCTACTTTGAGCAGCAGATCGCCCTGGAGAGCGCCTTCCCAAAGATCTGCACTCCTGAGCTTGAAATGACTCAAATGCATATTTCAGGTAGAATCGGTCACTAGAGCTGAGATGTAAACACGTCTGAAGGCGTCAGCAGGTCTGACGTATGATTCGTGCTCTCTCGCTGCAGCGTTGCCACGGGAAATCCTGATGTACATATTTCGTTGGGTTGTGTCAAGCGACTTGGACATGCGAACCCTGGAGCAGCTTTCTTTGGTTTGTCGGGGTTTTTACATTTGTGCCAGGTGAAGTTTCCTCTCGACAGATGAAGAAATGAAAGGGCTGCATCTTTCTTAACAGTTAAATGGCCACTCCTTTAGTTTTTATAACGTCTGATGTTCCTCAGGGACCCAGAGATTTGGCGTTCTGCTTGTCTGAGAGTGTGGGGGCGCAACTGCACCAAACTTGTACCTTTCAAGTCCTGGAGGGAAATGTTTCTGCTGAGGCCGCGTGTCCGTTTTGATGGTAATTTTTGAAGCAGCGTTGTTATTTTCCGTGTCCTCATCCAATCTCGTTAACATGAAAAAACTGGCTTTATATTTTCAATCACAAAGAATATTGTGCTTTAAAAAGGGCTAAAATGTTGCTACAGTTCAAATCCAGCTAAAACCTCCCATGCATATTCTACTTGTACAGGCATTTATATCAGCAAGACATCGTACATCCGCCAAGGAGAGGAATCACTGGATGGCTTTTACAGGGCTTGGCATCATGTTGCGTATTTCAGGTAAATTATAGCTTTCTGTGGACATTTTAAAGGCAAACGCAGCGCTGTTCATTTAAACAGGAAGCTGCAGAGATCTTCAAATGGTCAGTTTTCATTGGTCTACTCTAGTCTTGATTTAAACACCTCCTAGTATTTTGAATTGGCACTGCTGAAGATTAAAGTTGAATAAAAGCATTTTAATAACATTTAAGATGAACTAAAATGCTCGTAAACACGTAAAAACAACATTTTTTGTTGTTGTTTTGCCTTGTTTTGTTTTTTTGAATGTCCAGAGGACCAGATTTAACTTTTTTAGATTTTTCTACCTGGATTATTGAGCATGCATCAGGATAAAATGCTCGTATTGCTTTTTTTGTTACCATTATTGTACCAGATGTTTACATGTATAAAGTATCAACCTTGGTGTTGCAGGTATCTCCGGTTCTTCCCTGATGGTCACGTCCTCATGCTCACCACCCCCGAGGACCCTCTGTCTGTTGTTCCCCGCTTGCGTACCAGAAACCCCAGGTACCCCGCTGATCGTCAAACAAATAAGAAAAGGGCACGACAGTCACTGTAATGGATTTTTCTCTTTATTTGGCAGAATGGATTCCGTTCTGTTCGGTCATTACCGTCTGTTGCAGGAGACGGACAATCAAACCAAAGTTTTTGCTGTTTGCAAGAAAAAAGAGGAGGTGAGTAAACCGAGGTTTGCTAGTTCCCATTCTCTTCCTTGGAAAACACGTGTAATAAATGCGTTGAGTGTTTCTTGTGTCGTATCCAAGTCAGCGAAGCAGATTCAGGATCAGCTTTTAAACTGTTCGTTGACAGAAAGCAGCTGAGATTCCGAGGAATCGGTTCTACAGGCGGAGCCCGGCTCCAGAGGCCGAGCACAGCTTCCATGTGGGACTGCGTCTGTCCTCCAGGGGGCAGCAGAGCTTCAGTAAGCTCGTGTGGATCCACCACTCCTGCCACATCACTTACAAGTAAGACTCGAGCGTCTGTGAGAAAAACAGTGTTCTCGTGTTGAAAGTTGACACTAATGACTGTTTGTAGGTTGACTGGGGAGACGGTCATCACAACGTTCGACCTTGACAAGATGTACTCGCCCTTCTTCTTTGCACGTGTGAAGAGTTACACTGCTTTCTCTGAGCAGCCGCTGTAAGGAGGAAAAAAAGACCTGTGCATGATCCCATGAACATCACAGAAGAAGCTGTGTCCCCATTAATAAAAAAAGAAGCATACTCCCCATTCTGTTCACTTAGTGCTGTAGCAGGATTATGGTGTTGCTTTTAAAACCCTCATGTTTCCTAAACGCAAGCATGTTATGTTTCAGGTTTGCCTGTTAGGACGCTTCTTATTTTCTGATAATCAGAAATTAGTGATTTGCTGAAAGCTAAACTAATTAGCAACCTTTCCCACTTGTTCCAAGCAATGAATGTTCACAATGTTTTGGTTTTTTGTTTCATGGTGCACTTTCTTCTGCAAATAAACTTAAAATGAAAACCAAATGAAAGTGATGAAATAGCATTTTGTTTAAATGATAAGCGCTGAACGACTGCTGAAATTTGAAGAGGCTCAATCTGAGTTGTTAAAGCTAATTTGAGTGGAATATTACGGTTAAGCAAAATCCATCCAAAGCCAAAAAAGTATCAAAACATTGACTAGATTAAGATGTAACAGAAAGTGGTTGAAAACAGCAACAGATAAGCTAAAGTAACTAGAGGCAAGCTAAAAGCCAATGCATGAAAATGTGAAAAGTAGCAAAAGTTTAGCTAAAATCCACAAGAAGTAAAGCACGAAAAGCAGCAAAACAAGTTTAAAAGAAATCAAACTGGCTTAAAGTTAAAAGCGGCAAAAGGTTAACTGAAACCTAAAGTAAAAGACTAGCTTAAAGCAAAACATCTAAAAGTAGCTAAAGGAGCTTCAAGGAGCTCTAGATATTTTAATGAGTTTGTAGAAAACACTTGTGAATAAAGGTAAATATTTGGAAAGTAAAAAGCCACGATGGCCCCATCTGAACGAGCTGAACATTTCGTCATGGTTTAAAAAAAAAACAACAAAACATGATGTATGCAAGAGAGGAAAAATATAAAAACAGGAACCCCATTGTGTGAAAGCTGAACAAGTTCTGCTTCCGTCCGTAGAACGGCATTAGGCTGGTTGTGCTGCTTTTCTGCAAAAAACAAAGGTCCTGTTACACAACCTCCGAGAGCTCACATTACAGATCTATTCCAGACTAGTGCAGCGTTTGTCTCGGACATGGATTTAATCCACATATTACATTTTCTGGGAACCAAGCGCAGACTGGGCCAACAGGATTTTCATCAAGGAATTAATCATAAAATAGTTGATGTGGATCAGATTAAACTATTTTTGACGTTACTTTTTTGCAGGTTTGAAAAGATTTTGCAGAGTTTCTGCTACAAATTGAATTTAAAAACTATAATGCATTTTGTGTTTTCACCCTGAGCAGGAAGCAGAAACGTTCAATTTAATTTGCATCATTTTACACATTATTCAGCATTAACTCATCCTTTTTTACTCATAGCGGTTTCATCAAGAATATAAAACTACCGTACGACTAATACTCGTTTTAAAAATCATGAAGTGAAAGCGTGTTCGTGTTTCAACACGGACGACAAAGCGGATGTTTTAACCAATCCGGAAGCTGAACTTCAGTAAAAACAAGACAATCTTATTTTTGTATTTCCTTCTTATAACTTACTGGAAAAACTTGAGCAAAACGGACTCACTTCACACTTAAAGCCAAGATCAGAGCATTGTTCTGACCAAAGCTGATAAACGGTGTTGGAAGACCTTGAATCTGTTTTCTAGATTTAAAACTGTTCTGATAATGAAAGCAGCCGTGATGACTGAACTGCTCACTGTAATCTCGTCTGAAGCGTTTCAACACTTTTCAAACAGGAAATGGACGCAATGCAAAAAACAAAGAAATCAGTTCCACTTTCAAAGAAACTACTCAGCTGATATGTTACGAGTTTTATAAGTGAGATTAACACAAGATAAACTGTCCATTCATGAGTTTTAACATTATTATTCAATTTAGTTTATTTCTATAGCACCAAGTCAACAGAAGTCGTCTCAGGGCACTGAACAGAAACATTCGTATATAAAAAAATAATAATTTAACAGTATTTATCTGAGGAGCAGACTGATTTGAGTTTAACTCCATCACAGAACGCTCATCTTGAACAAGCATGAAGGCGACAGTGGAAAGGAAAAACTCGCTAATGAGGAAGAAACCTTTAGCAGAACCAGGCTCAGGACAAGCGGCCATCTGCTTCGACCGGCTGGGTTTGATGGAACAGATACACAATGGCAGGTCAAGAATCACATGTTACGATAGAAATAGTATCAAATGAAAACTTCAATTTTAGCAATTCATTCAAGGAAATTAGATCAATTTGTCCTCTTAATAAACCTATAGCAGCATAACAAGCCAACCCTAACTATAGGATTTATCAAAAAGGAAAGTCTTAAGCCCAGTCTTTATACTGGACAATGTGTCAGCCTCACAGACAGAAACTGGAAGTTGGTTCCACGAGAGAGGAGCCTGATAACGGAAAAATCTTCCTCCCATTCTGCTTTTGGGAACTCTAGGGACCGAGCGTAAGTCTGCAGTCTGAGAGTGAAGTGCTCTGTTAGAAAAATATGGAACAATAAAATCTCTACTATAAGATGGAGCTAGGTTGTTGAGCGTTTTATACAATCGGATTTCTAATAAAGATCTAAAATCATCATATTGAACTAGTTGCTCATGCTGGACGTGTGTCAATAAAGAAAGTTCAAGTAGGTTTTATTGTCATTTCACCACATGTGGTACATGAGGTGGAATGAAATTGTGTACACAGGGTCCCAGTTAATTTTTTTTTACCAGTTACAAAGTATTGGTAAATGTTGTTTTAAGTCGTCTTCTACCCTTGTCTTAAAATTTGGTTAATGAATTATTTTGTTACAGCCCATCTAGATACTGTACATTTATTGAAATCGATCCTTAATGTCCTTATACAGCATTTACAGCATTTACAGGGCTCTCTGGCACTGCCCTGGAGTGGTTCCAATCATACCTGACGGACAGAACAGAGTTTGTCTCCATTGGGCGTGCCAAGTCATTGAGCCATCCTGTTTCTTGTGGTGTGCCCCAGGGATCAGTCCTGGGACCCCTTCTTTTCAACTTGTACATGGTACCACTTGGGTGTATTATCAGCAGCTACGGGGTCTCATTCCATTGCTATGCTGATGATACTCAGCTGTATCTTAAGCTGGGAAGCAATGTGTCTGAGACCCCATCTACATCATCTTCAGCTACATTTTCTCCACTTTCTTCTCTTTCCACACTCACAGCTTGTCTGGAGGAGATAAAGGCATGGATGCAGCAAAATTTCCTTCACCTTAACAGTTCAAAAACGGAAGCAATTCAAATTGGTACTTCACACCAAATTCAACAACAAAAAATCCTCAGTATCTCTTTCTCTGGCCAGAACATTTCTCTTTCCAATGCAGTTACCAATCTTGGTGTTATTTTTGATTCACAACTCACCTTTGAAAGCCATATAAAGCATATATGTAAAACTTCTTTTTTTCATCTTTGAAATATTGCAAAGCTTCGGTCTACACTGTCCTTCACCGATGCAGAAAAGCTCGTCCATGCCTTTGTCTCTTCCAGACTGGACTACTGCAATGCACTCCTCATTAGGATTCCTGGCAAGAACATACAGAAACTACAGTATGTCCAGAACAGAGCTGCCAGGGTCCTGATGAGAGTGCGTAAGCATGAGCACATCACCCCTGTACTCCGTTCACTTCACTGGCTTCCTGTTTCTGCCCGGATCACTTACAAAATGTATCTGCTCACCTTCCAATGCTTGTACGGTAATGCACCATCTTATTTAAAAGAACTTCTCACCCCTCATTGTCCTTCACGCACTCTCCGCTCTTCCAACACACATCATCTTCTCACTTCCAGGTCTCGATCCTGCACAACAGGAGACCGGGCTTTCTCCTGCGCTGCCCCTCGGCTGTGGAACTTCATATCTGAGGGCTCCACAGACCGTGACATGTTTTAAAAAGGGTCTTAAAACCTTTCTTTTTACCCACTTTTTTAATTGATTGCACTGTACTTTTTTTTTCTTTGTTTGTTTTGTTTTTTTATTCACCCATAGTTCTTATTTGAGTATTTTATCTGCATTTTGTGCATTTTAAGTTTTTTTGATGTGTTCATTCTGAGGCGTTATCCTCCTGGTTGTTTTGCTCTCGGTTGCTTTTATGGTTGCTTTTATCCTGATGCTATCTGATGTTCACTCTTTGTAGCACTTTGAGATTCACCGTGAATGTAACGTGCATTATAAATAAAAGTTATTATTATTATTATTATTATTATTATTATTATTATATTGACTTTGTTTGTCAGCTAAAGGCTAAAGGAGAGGAGTTATGTTTGTCTTGTTATGGCGAGGGCGGGTGGGGGAGGAAGGACTTTACTGAAACTCAAATGTAATTATCTCGTGCACATCCAAGAATAATTCAGTAGGGGAGTGGTGGCGCGGAGGTTGTAGAGGGTGGGCCTGTGATTGGAGGATCGCTGCTTCGACTCCCAGGACTTGCAGCATCAAATGTGGGTGGGACGGGTGGAGCATCCACACCTACCTCCACCCTCATTTTCCCCACTCTGGGACTTGAACAAGGCCCTTAACCCCCACCATCTGCTCCCCCAGGTGCCCTAGATGGCAGCTCTCTGCTCCACACAGAGGGCTGTGGTAGCTCGGTGGTCTGTGGTTGCGTCAGGAAGGACATCCGGTGTAAAAACCGAATTAGTTCGCTGTGGAGACCCCTGAGGAAGGGAGCAGCCGAAAGAAGACAAATATTTTTTTGTTGTGGTAGTAGCTGAAAGTCTTTCACAACAAATACTCTGAGCGCTGAGTTCTTCTGTGACATCTGGCAACGTCACATCAGATTGCAAATAAGATTATTTACAAGATTTGAAAAACTTTAGATTATCGTAGTTAGGAAAGGCAGCGGGCGACATGCATTCCTTAAAGGAAAGCTGGATTTTTAATTCTGTCATGAAGAGTCATTTTCCACGAGGAAAACAAGCAAGTTTTGCTGTTGGGAGTTTATCTTTAAATGTAACAGGGATTAAAGGGCGAGCCACAACCATCCTTATCAACGGTCGCCATACAATGACCCACTCAGACTGGATTAAAACAAAAGTCATGTTTTTTTTTTTTTACATTCATCTATACTTCCATGGCTTTTATCAATAACATTTGCTTTCTGTAGTACTTTCAGCAGAAGACCTGAGATGTAAATGCAACTTTTGATCTTCTCATTTATCACCAGTCAGGTCGAATAACGATATGTTGGAGACAATGCGTCTCGTTTCACTGAGTCTGCAGCTCTGCAGAGTCAAATTAAAGCATTTGTTCTCCAAACTAACATTATTTTACAGGAAGTGAAATGAACACATGACCTTTATATCCGTACAATCTTCCTCCTTTCAAAACTGTTCAAACGTAGAGGAAACGTTGAAGTCTAGTTAGACGTTCCTTTGCTAAGGCCTGCAGCTGCGTGGTTTAAGCATAAAGCTTCAATCTAAAATGCACTTTTAGCAGTTTTGTAAAATGATTTGAGCATAAGTGATGTTTAAAATTCACATCAGGTCTGAACTTGGTTCACTAACCGAAGCTTCATTCAATTCCCTTGGGTGACATCTACTGGCAGTAGCGGTTGTTGCACCAACTGAAGTCCTGTGAATGTGATGCACTTCTTGCGTAAATAATAGCACTTATGTATTTATATATGTGTTGTACATATGTTTTTAGTACCTCATTAAAGATTCTGAGTAATTTACCCATATAACAGTAACAGGCTAATTTAAAAACAATGTGAACTGTAGGGGTGTGGGGGCGCGGGGGTCCGTGTGTCCTCCCCCATAAAATTTGGAATAAAAGAGATGCCATTTCCTGCACTTTGGTGTATTTTAACAGGTTGTTAAACATTTGAATAAATTGATTAAAAACAGGTCTCTCTTGTAAATGACGAGGCTCAATGAGACTAACAACCTGTGTAAATAAAGGTTGAATTGAAATTACTATTTTAGAGAGCAACAACAATTAACAAGCCTGTGTATGAATGCACGTCCTTGACTGTCTGTCAGGCATCCTACGTGGATGTTCTCTGTAAAAAAGATTAAATAAGCCTAAAAAAAAAGCACATCTGAAAAGTGGTTTTGAGTTAACAGAAGGAAGTGCTGCGAGCAAGTGTTTGGGGAAATGAGAGCAAAAAATGTGGAATTGGCCAAATTAGCACATACAGCTAATAGTAGCTGAAATAGCAGAAAAAGCTGAAACTTGCAGAAATGAGCTGAAAGGAGCACCACAAGCTGAAAATAACAGAAAGAAGGTAGAAGCACAAATGTTATAGTTGGCAAGAAAGAATCTAAACAGAGCACAAAACAGCTGAAAGTAGCTAAAAGTTTAAATTTGCTCAAGGAAGCTGAAGCAGAACAAAATGTGAAAGGAGCAGTAAAAGGTTGTAAACACATCTAAAAATATGAAGGATGTTAAATGAGCTCAATTCATTTTCTATGAGAAAAAAAGTAGCAGAAAAGGCTAAATGGTTCAAAAAGCTAAAGTCGCACCAATACCAAAAGTCACAGCACCCTTCTCCTGAACGAGCTGAATGTTTTGATATATGATTTGTTGAAATGGCACAAAAATTGTGGAACGAGAAAGATGCTGAAAAATGGATCACAATAGTGTGAATGCTTCATAACGTTCACACAAACAGCATTAATCCCACAACGCATGGTGAACAACAGTCAGTGTTATGTGAATGCACTGCAGTTGAATTATTAGCAACTAATTCTACAGTATGATTACATATTTAATAACTCCACATCAGTTAACACAAATATTCGGATTGTTAAAAGACTAAATGGCTGCACCAAAAGCAGCAGCTATAAATAAGCTTTTCAGGCTTATATTTATTGTGCATTTTGCCCTGCTGAATAAACGGTAAACAGATAAGACACAGTGTGAAAGAAGAAGTCATTTTTGCATTAGATTGTAACCAAAACTGAGATTTTATTTCAGAAAAAAAAAAAAAAAAAACTCCTCTCACACTGTGGCCTGAACTCTCCTAAAAACAAACATTATCTTATGCATAAATGCTGTACTTTGGTTATGATCAGAATGATAAACATTCAAACTGGACCCTGCTCTGTAAATACATCTTTTTATTAAAAACTGCTTTCTTTTTGCCTCTACACCCTGTCTGTAGTAAATTATTTACACCATCAGAGTATAAAATGTTGCAGTATCTAACTGCAAAGGCAGGAGTGAGATCAAATAAGGCCCTACAGTAGTTCTACTATAAAATAATTCTGTTTAGTTTTTTTTTATTTTTAATTCTCTCTAAGCTGATGCCACTTTGTGTTTTATCTGCTGACGAGTCACTGTTGCTGTGCAAAGCAATTCCTCTGCACGTGACTTTGTTTGCTGGTAGATTGTTTTGCATTTAATTCACTGTGAAAGGTGAGGAAGGCATATTGTACAGTGTCAACAATACAGTACTCTTGTCTTATATTTATAATAATTTAATAATTCCATAATCAGCAGTTATGTGTGTTAAAAAAACATGAAAAGTCTCTGGACATGCTGGTTGTAGCTATGGCTTGTTTCATCTGAATTAAGTGCTAATCTATCCCAGATATGAAGACATAAACCTCCTAGCAGCGTTAGCTGGCGAGCTACGGTGAGCGCATGTTTCTCCGATGTCAATCCACCCGCAGCTTCTTGGCTGCAGCGTACTCCGTCGACGGCGTCCCGTTTGCGTGGCCGTTTGTTGACGCGGCAGATCCAAGCTGGTGTTCCTTCCTTCGAGAGGCACTCTGCTTTTTGTAAGTCTGGAATAAAGTAAAGGTAGATAGAGTCGGTTTTTATATACATAACTAAAAAAACGGAGCAGGGTCAACAAATTATATCAGAGCTTTCCTGATTAAAACATGTTCAGACTGAGGTCAATTAGATGCACTGTCCTTAGAGCAAATAATAAATAATAACGAGCACATAATTAGTGGCTAATTAAAAATGAACCGATTTGTGTAAAACATAACATTTTGATTCTGCACACAAGGTTTAATATAATATTGTATAATCATGAAAATCAGACTGAATGGCCCAGAAGCTCATGAAGCCTCTCAGCTCATTTCAAAAGTACAATATGCACAAAAATCACCAAAGTTGAATTAAATAAACAATATTTAGAAGCAAAATTACCAAAGGGAGACGCAAAACAATCCTAATCAACCAACTTAAAACCATCACAAAATGAGACAGAATGATCGCAATTAGCAGTTCAAAGGTGGACAAATACAGAAAGACAGAGCACAGAATAAAATGCAAAACTAAACTAGAGAAACTGCATTTCCTGCGAAAATGCAGTGTGAATGCTTATTGCTGAAGAACAGCTGAAATGAACTAAAACATGCTGAAATGTAGCTGAAATGAAAGAACAGGTTTAAATTAGCACATGAATGCAGAAAGAACACACATTTGCTTGATTGGGGTTAAATAAGCTGAAATTAGCATAAAAATTAGGAAACTAGCTAAAAAAGCTGAAATTAGCAACAAAAAAACGTATGTAGCTGAAAAAGCAGAAAGAAGCTTAAACTACCAGAAGGAAGCAGAAAGAGCTATGAAGAATTAACTGAAGAAGCTAAAATTTGCTTAAAAACAGCTAAACAGAAGCTGAAATAGCATAAAAAGCTGAAATTTGCAGGAAAAAGCTTAAAGGAGCATAACAAGCTTAAATTATCATAAAGAAGTTAATTAGCCTGAAATGAGCAGAAATGATTACGAAAAACTAGAATTTATCTGAAAACAGCTGAAATTTGCTAAAAAAAAAAAAAAAAAAATGCTAAAAAGGTAGAACAAGCTTAAATTAACTAAAGAAAGCAGAAAGAACACATGTTTGTCCAGTTGGGCTGAAAGGAGTAGAAATGAGCACAAAGAGTGGAAATTATCTGAAAAAGCTGAAATTGGCAACAACAACAACAACAACAAAAAAAACCCTGCTGAAAAGTAGCTAAAATAGCAGAAAGAAGCTTAAATTACCAGAGGGAAGTGGAGAGCACATTTTTGCTGAATTAGGCTGAAAAAAGTTAAAATTAGTGCAAAAAATATGGAATTAGCCAAAATAGCTAAACGGTAACTGAATTAGCAGAAAAAGTTGAAACTTGCATAAATAAGGTGAAAGGAGCTTAATGGTCTGAAATTAGCAGAAATAAGTTAGAAGAAGCACAAAAATTTAGTAGTTAGCCGAAATAATCTAAAAGGATCATAAAACAACTGAAAAAAAAACAAAAAAACAGCTGACATTAAATGAAAATGGCTGGAAAAAAAAGTTTAAATTTGCAGAAGAACTCTGAAAGAAGCTGAACCAGAACAAAATATGAAAGGAGCAGTAAAATGTAAACAGATCTAAAGATGTGAAGGATGTAAAATGAGCTCAATTCATTTCCTATGAGAAACAAAATGGCAGAAAGGGCTAAATATTTCAAAAAGCGAGAAAGATGGCCAAAAATGTACGGAAGAAAAATGGATCACAATAGTGTGAACGCTTCATAAACATTCACACAATAACTTATGGCAGTTGATTATTTTTGGTGTCTCTTATTCAGAAACGCTTTCTTTTCTGTCGGTGAACTATATACATCTGTAACAATTTTTTTCACTTTTTCCATTAACCTAATATTAAGTGCACAAGTTTAGGGCACAAAGACTGTGCCCACATGTGTTTATGAACATTTAAACAGGAAATAAAAGCCTTACCTGAATGTAGAAGTTTGAGAAAAGGATGATGAAGGAGAACATGTAACTGATTTGGAAGTACAGCCATCTTATGGGGAAACCACATGGCCATATAGCAGCGAACGCCGTATGGCATATGGTTAAGGAGAACTGGATCTGTGGACAAACCATGAAAAGCTGATTAGAGGAACACTCTAATAACACACTGTAAGCTTGTGTACATATATTTGTGTGGACATTTTTACAGCACTGACACAAAATGGACCCGAGTCCCGGAGGTACGGCAAGTAAAATATGCTCTCATGGTTAAAGAATTTATAGTTTAGGTGGGAGGAGAAACGGTTTTTGGCTTCAGTCAGAACATCCCACAAGGCATCAGGGCCAGCAGCAAGAAAAGACCGATGCAACCTCAAAGGCCGAGGTAAGTGCTGAGCAGATATGAGTGTAGAACAAAGGTTGTGATGGAGAATCGGAGGACAGACGCATTATTAAGTTCTCAGGTTGCTGTTCAAAGCCTCGAGGCAACAGCTTGTTCAGGTCACAGAGAATGAACTCTAAATCACAGCGAAGCTCCTGATGCAGCAACAATCCCTCTGTAGCGTTAGCTGTTAGCTTATCCCACGTGATGCAGACGAGATTTAACGAACCTCACAAATATCACACAGCAGATTATGTAATCGTTGCAAAATCTCTTAACGGGATACCTTCTAAGCGAGTAAAGGCCTCCAGAAGAAAAATACAGAACAACCGTATGCACAGCTAAAAGGAGAAATTCACGGCTCTTCAAAACTACCGTAACAAACAACTTTTTTAACTATGAAGGGGTGACATGGTATAGATGGATAAACAAAATGTGAATCAGTCATTTTATTTTAGACACAAATGATCCCAGTAAACAACATTATCCCAATCGTCTAGCATGGTGGTGGTAGTACCATGATTAAAGTATATTTTAATCTTTTAATTATCAAGAAAAACATCATATGAGTACATAATCAGTTCACCAACAGCTAAAGTTGCACAGTGGAATGGGCTAAAATTTAAACACCCAGTCGATGCAGTGAGCAGTTTTTTTTCCTGCTCACTATTTAAGCAAGGGCTCACGTGCTCCTGACACTTTCTCATGAATTATGTTGACACGTTTTCCTCTACAAATAAACGACTAAGAATATTTATTTTACATAATGGGTTTAAATGGGTTCCTTTGTGCAACAGGCAAAAATAAAGAAAATATCACAGTACAGTAGACCCTGATTTATCGCGGGGGTTTCTGTTCTCAGTCCCCCCGTGATAAGTGAAAAACCGCAAAGTAGGAATAGTAGTACAAGTAGTAAGTAGTTTATTTTATTATTTTTATATATAAATTACTGTGTTTTAAACCCTTCCCACACTCTTGCAATATTCTAAAGAATGTTTCTAAACTAAACGCTTTAAAAGAGCACAGCGTGTCATGATCTCTGCTCGCTCTGACACCTGTCAGCGCTGTAGGCCACGCCCACTTCTCCGTTGCAGAGCGGAGAGATGACATACTGCAGGAAGGAGCTTCTCCCTGCTGCACCTGTGGGCTGCAAACGGGTGCAGCAGATGCTAAATAATTAAAAAACAATTTATTTTTAAATAAAAAAAATCCATGCTGACCGTGCGGCTCATCCATCAATCAGACAATTGTGTCATGTCCAATCTTACTTTGAAAAACCGCCAAAGTCGAACCGTGAAGTTGCGAGGGACTACTGTATTTGTAAGTATTTTTGAGGACTCTACTTTAAAAAAAATCTGATTACTCAGTTACTTCAAAGAAAGTAAAGTAACAGCTGTGAACCTACCAGTTGTAACTGTGTGATGTACTTCTTCCACCAGAGGTACGGCCGGAGGGCAGGAACAGCTGAGAGGCCGTAGTAGGAATACATGACAACGTGGATGAAGCTGTTCAGAGAGGCACCGAAGTATGCTGAGAAAACATGGAGGAGACACACAAAGTTATTTTATGGTGTGAGTCCCCAAATGGTGGACTGCAGTCTGGATGCCAAACAAACGACGCCTTAGCTGGACCCAGATCAGTTGAAAAATGTATTCAGGTGGACCTCAATGCAAAGACTACTGATCTACAATAAGCAACAACTGGACTTCAGTACAAAGATATCGCAGAAAGTAGCACATTTATATTTTCAAGGACACTCTCAATATCCTATATTTTAACTGTGTTTAATTCAATTCAAAAATACTTTGTTAACCCCAAGGGGAAATTAAATGTTGTAACTCGTTATCCCCGTTTCATTAAGAGATGTTATAGATACTGATGGCTGTAGGCAGGAAGGAGCTCTTGTAAAAGTCCGTCCCACAGTGGATCTGAAGAAACTGGTCGCAGATCCCATTCGATCCATCCACCCAGACTTGGGAAGCCTCTCGGTTCCTTGGGGCTGCAGAACCACCCGAAAGCTGGGCAGAACTCCTCCCAGAGTGATGGCCACTCCTCCCAGCAGCCTGCTGAGCTCCTTGTTGCCACAGGTGCCAGCCGCAGGTGCTGGGGGATGATCCCGGTCCTTCTGCAGTCACGAGCAGTATTTTCTGCCATTTCCAGGAACTCAGAGGTCAGGCACTCGAGCACAGCCGGCAAGGAGATGGGAATGCATCCGTGGTGCCTCCTTTTCTACTTATTTGAGATTTGGGGTTGTAGCTGAGATATTATTATTATTATTATTATTGTTATTATTATTATTTAGGTCAAATTGTGTAACTTTGTGTTAAGTCTTTGTCGAAAACAAAGGCTAGTTTTAGACCCGTGTTCATTCTGGGAACTTTGGGAAGCTTGAATTATTTAGATCAAAGAGTAAAAGTGGGACCTGGAACGATCGGAGGCACCGGAGTGTGTAAAGTCGAGCAATACACTCACAGTGGCCGCAGGGTATCCAGTTCATCACGAACCACCAGATATTCAGCATGCTGGCGTGGTGGTAGACGTGAAGAAACGTGACCTGGTGGGTGTTCTTTCGCAGGATAAAGAACAAGGTGTCCATGAACTCAAGAAGCTTGGAGAAGTAGTACCACCACAGGACACTGATGACCTGGGAGGGCGAATAAAAACAAACACTGCTGGTAAAATCCTTAATAAAACAGCGTACGGTTACTTTGTAAGTGCACTCTGCAGGACTTCAACCGTTCGTAGCCGATGCACCCTTTTTATTTATTCACAGCAAAACTGCAAAGTCATGCTTGTTTCACCCTGTGCATCGTTTTCACCTCTACTGTGAAAGAACGGTCAGAGAAAATGTGATATCTTGCAATAAACACATGAGTAAATGTGACCAACGGACCTTTTTATCCACTTCGGGTGCGCTGTACGTGTTCTGGCAGAAGAAGTTGTAGCCGCCATGCCACACTGTCCTAGCAAGCTGCAAATAAAGCCGTTAGAATGAATACATGATGAATGTATGTAAACTTAGATGATTTATTGTTGTTCAATGGGACTTTTTTATGTCTTGTAAGCGGAAAAGAAGTGGCACATCAATAGATAAGTAAAACAGATATAGTCCATGGGTCAGGTTGTAGTGACCTCAACTTAACCAGTCAATAAAAACATTTCAGTTGAAGTGAAAGTTAAGGTTCATACCTCCTACTATAAGATTTCAAACCACTTTGTCTCCCCACTGTTCAACATACGACTTTTCAGTTTAGTTATCATTGCCTAAAGCAAGAGGTGATAATAAAATGTGTTTTTGTGTCTCGTGAACCAGCTGATTGAACTTTAATTCAATAAGTGGATGTACAAATACAGCTGATTAACTTTTGGAGCCAACCCCATTTCAGGTGACTGCCACAGCTAAACAACCTTAGGAAGCACAACTACTGCTCATATTCTGTGGTTGTAGATGAGAATCATCCGCAAGACATTACCATATTTTTCAGACTATAAGGCACACTTAAATTTTTTAAATTTTCTCAAATTGACAGTGAGCCTTATGATCCAGTGTGTCTTATGTATTAATTCTGGTTGTGCTGACTGACCTCAAACCGATTTTATGTGGTTATTGTGAATGAGTTGAATAAAGTTTGACTTATTTGACTGTTTTGTTTTGCTTAATGCGTCTTATAATCCAGTGCGCCTTATGCATGAAAAGACCCTTCCATTGATATTGCGCATTATAATCTGGTGCACCTTATAGTCTGAAAAATACGGTATTTGAGTGCTAACAGATCTTTCATTTGACAATATAGCATGAGATTTGCTAATGTAGCAGGGTTTGACCAAAATGACTTTATTTTCTTTGTCAGCATAATATAATGGGTGGAACGTTAGGCTTTTAATTTATTTAACATTATTTTTATGTTTACCAAAGGTAAACGCGACAATGAAGAATTCAGACCAAAAAAAGAGTAATCATTCTGTTGGTTTGAGTGTATTTTGAAATATGTTAGCATTCAAGATGGACTTGTAGAAGTTTATACTGAAGATGAAAGTTACTTATTTATTAGATACGCTAGTTTTAGCTAATACAGTATAAGCAACAATAATAATAATATAAACTTGTTGAATTTACTAGTAAATACAGTATACTTTGAAATTATACCTTCTATGAAAAAGGTTAGACAGCTCAATCCTCCAGGTAGATAAATCACATAAAATGTTAAATCACGTCATCTGGACAAGTTTCTTTTTTGGGGGAGAAATGTTTCATCTTTCATCCGAAAGACTTCATCAGTTTGAGGCCTGCCAACCCAGATCTGTCTTATAAATAGCCTCTCCTTGATGTGTTTCAAGCCAGCCCTCTGTGGAATCCAAAGAAACTAGCTTTACACAGGCAAAAAGGGGACCAGCTGTCCAAAACAATCAATGGTCAAAATGTTTTAGGCCAGATGACCAACTTGCTACTCCCAGAAACAGCCTGAGGACACCTGGCCCAAAAAGTGCTATTTATAAGATCTGGGTTGTCAGGCTGATGAAGTCTTTCAGATGAAAGAGGAAACGTTTCTCCCAAAAAAGAAACTTGTCCAGATGACATTGTTGGAGCTGGACATTGTTGATTTAAATATTTTCTGTGCTATACAGTAGTCCTTCGCTACTTTGTGGTTCATTTATCGTGGACTCGCTCTATCGCGATTTTTCAAAATAAGACTGGACATGACACACAATCGGCATGGAATTTTTATTTTAAATGAATTATTTTAAATTATTTAGCACCTCCTGCACCTTTTGTGCAGCCCACACTGCAGGATAAGCTTCCTGCTGCAGATGATCAGCTGTTCAGCATGCAGAGTGGAGAAGTGGGCGTGGCCAAGGGCGCTTGCAGATGGCAAAGAGCAGCAGAGGCAGGGAGCTGAAATCATGACATTCTGTGCTCTTTTAGAGCTTTAGAGTTTAGAAACATTGTTTGGAATATTGCAAGAGTGTGGTAAGGATTGAAAATGCCATGTATATATATATATATAAAATTATACTAAAATAAACTACTTACTACTTGTACTACTATTCCTACTTGGCGTTTTTTCCCTTATCGCGGGTCTTCAGAGTACGGATCCCTCGCGATAAATGAGGGACTACTGTACCTTCTATGAGTAGATCTGCCCTCCACTCAGTTGGTAGTAGACTTCTTTTAAACCAAAAAAAAAAAAAATCAATTAAAATTAATCAAAAAGGTCAAAAATTACTCGAAAATGAGTCTGTAACATTAAAACAGGATGGTCAATGCCTGTAAGTTTGTCTAATTCTGACCTGCAGATCTGATTATGTATAGATGTTTATACTTCATGATGTGTTTTGGCTGATGTGAGATTTTAAAAAAAAGTACAACTATACATAGGCTTAAAGTAGTTATTCATCTGTGGTCTGAGCCAGTAAACTGCCATCACTTAAAAATAATTGATTAATCTTTTCAACATTAAGTATTTATTATGCATACACAAACAATGGCTTCTCCGTTGCCTGACAGGCCATCTATTTTCAAAGGGAACCTAATGAAGTGAGTATATGAAGTAGATAAAGCAAATTACTGTTTGATTATTGACTGAGTGCAGGCAGGATGTCAGAGCAGAGGGTTGCTCTGAACTTCGATTCACATCAGGTGACATCGACTTTTGAAGTGCTGAAAGTTCACCCCGCGGCTCGGACAACCGCAGAGTTCAGGGTTTCATGAAGCAAATGGACCTTATGCAACGCAGAGGGCAGAACAGGAAGCTCATTCTGCCGTCTGGGTGATATTTAAGACTTCCACGTGCATGGAGGTGCGCTAAACAACAACCTGTCTGATAAGTTACATTTGGTGCTGCTGCTTTTACTCAACCAACAGATTCAGCTCAGACTCTGACGGCTTAAAGGATGGTTTCAACTTCATGCAATTAACTGTTTTTTAAAAAAAAAGAAACTATAATGAGCCAACATTTTTCAGTCAGGTCATCTAGACAGTTTCTATAATGAAGTTTGCTGCAGCCTGTAACAAATTATGATGGATTTAATTGCTAATATAAAGAGCCTGAAGGCATTCAGGAGCGCTCCAGCATCGTCTTCAGGGACAACCGTCAGCGAGACACCAGCGTCTTATTAGACTCAGACTCTGAGGAAGAGGTCAACATTTTCTGTCAATGTTAGATCCGAAAAACAAATATTTTAATACGTTTCTCCTAAAACCTGATAAAATGACTATTAAACAGAATAAAAATAATAGGCTACCTATATTGCTTACTGTCTAAATAATATAAATAGTTATTTAAAGCTCTAAAGACACACAACTACGTACAATATTGGTACATTAATCAAGATTTATCACTCTGGGATTAAACTGAAGCTAAACCGAGTCCACAGTAGTAAACATCATAATTTATTTTTGGCTGTGCATATTTCCAAGCATTTATGCTCATTTAGATCAGGTGATAGTGCTTTTATACAGTTTATGATAATTTATTTTAGGCATCCCAGCTTTCCCTGTACAGTAATTCATCTTTGACAGAGTTCCTTTTACAACATTTATGGTAATTGATTTTAGTTGGCGCAGCTTCTCTAGAATTTACGGTAATTCCCATGTCTGGCTCGCAGTTTCTCTCTGCTGAGAGAAGCTGCTAGAACAGGTAGAAGCAGGGCCTGAAGACAAAATGTTGAGTGAAGAGAACTGTTGTGACTATTACTAATAATTTAATTTAATATATTCTGATAGAGAAGAACTTTTTAAATTTGAACTTGCAGAATTTTCAATAAAAACACTGAACTAAAGTATCCAACATCAAGTTAAAGGGCAGACATTGGTAATTTAGGTGCAGCGTGTAAACACGTTGCCCTTAAATTTAGACTATTTCCATTTCTGCAACAGAAACAACAATAATTAATCAGATTGTTGAGGCACTCAGTTGGAGTGGGTTTTATCTGAACAGGAAGATGAGTCTGAAAATCTCACACAGTGACCAGCCTTGTACACTAACTACGACGGAGCTTTATGGTCACGCTAAGAATTAAAAAAAAATTACATTGCCACGCTAAGAACAAAAATTAAAAGCCATACAATTACGAGAATAAAGTTGAATAAAGTCTTAATGTTACAAGAAAAAAGTCGTACGAGACTTTATTTGCAGCTTTATTTTTATATTTTTTCCACAAGTCAGATCCAGACACGACCTGTCAATCAATCCAGTAGGCGGGTCAGCAAATGGCCAATCCGAAGCTAAATGCTCCTTACCTGCAGAGCTGCGCTGCAGCCCATCAGAGCGTACCACCTTACTGTAAGCAGGTTCAAAGTCCTGATACTGATTATAATCTGATGCTGATGTGCTAACAGATTAACTATCTCCTTATTTGTAAAACAAATACCAAAGTATAACTTAACAAAATGCTCAATTTTCTTCATTTTACCACAGTTAAAATGCGGTAAACTCTGCTGTATCGTGTCAGAGTTCGGATAATGTTACGACTCATTTAGCTTCGGATTGGTCATTTGCTGACACGCCTACTGGATTGATTGACAGGTCGCATTGTGGATCCGAAAAAAACCCACAAGAGTTGCAAAAAGACTCGTACGACTTTATTCTTGTAATATTAAGACTTTATTCAACTTTATTCTCATAATTCTTTGGCTTTTAATTTTTTTTCTTATCGGGGCAATGTAATTTTTTTTTTTTCTTAGCGTGGCCCTAAATCTCCGTCATAACTAACAGTTTATCTAAAGCTAAATAAAACAATTTCCTTCTGTCTCTGCAGAGGAGCTGTTCTCATAGTTTTGGCTCCCAGCTGTCTGTTTACCTCGTAGCACATGTAGAAGGACAGAAGCGTGATGCCCACATTGTAGAGCACCATGAGGCCTCTGCAGGAGTAAGGCTGTCTGTGTTTCATGTACTTGGGTCCCAGCCACACCAGCAGGAGGTACATGACTGTGAGTGCAAAGGTTGGTGGGTAATTGTCGAGCAGGCGCATTCCCTGCACCCGCTTATCTGAAACACAGAGATTAAAAAAAAAAAAGGATTGACAAGAAAAGTTGAAGAAAGATTAAAAAAATCAGAGCTTCTTTAAAAAGTACAGCCAGATGTACTCACCTCTGGGACCCATCCATGATTCAAAGTATGTGTTTAGTTTCTGATTGATCGCCTCCATTTTTCACCTATAAAAAGGAGGAGGAACAAATAATTTAATCAATGAATAAAAATCTACAATATGATGTATTTTACCTGAGATAAACATTACACACAACAAACCCCCAAAAGTCTAAATAGATAATCTAATGAAGTAAATCTGGTGTCCACTTTATATGAAGCTTCATTTTAGGTTTCCTCTTAATTAATTAAAGGAGGAATTCTTTGCTTCTCCGTTTTTTTTTATTTACAATTTTGGACTAAAAACAAAGTCAAATTGTTAAAAAAAAATAAAAATAAAAGCCCACCACTGCCTGTACACAGTTTTCAACAAGCAGAGCTCAGAGATATTTATATTTTATATTAAACAAAACTAGAGACTATAGATGAAGGACCCATTTTTACAAACTAAGAGCGTTCGCTTGTGTCTGTCTGTCACCAAAATATCCCATGAACCACTCCGGGTTTTAAAGAAACACTCAGAATTGAATTATTTGATATATATCAGACAGGGGCAGCTGTGGCTGAGTGGTTAGAGCAGTCGTCCTTCAATAGCACAGTTGGGGGTTCGATTCCACCAGCAGTCACATGCTGAAGTGTCCCTGGGCAAGACATTGAACCCCTCATTGCCTCCGATGTGTGTCCCATTGTTGTACAAATGTAATAAAGCACTAATTAATGTTTGTATAGATATAGTGGAGTGCTGTAAATGAGAGGAAAGATCGTACTGTAAAGCGCTTTGAGTATCTTGATAAGATAAGACGCTGTATAAGTGCAGTCCATTTACCATTTATCTTCAAATTATTAAATTAAGGAGCCAAACTAATTCAAGCTAACTGTTACGCCTAATCAACTTAAGAAAAATGGGTAACTCAGTTAATTTACAGCAATAGAGCTCAAATGCAGCAAATTATCCTGAACACATTCTCACAATATTTCATGAAATATCAAATAAGATTCTTTTTAAGGTTCGACCAAAATGGCGGCAACTCCATTGTTGTTCAACGTAAGTTAATGGCACTCAGAAACTCATAAAAGGTGATGAGTGATTCCTTCGAGGATTGTTCGGTCTTTAATTGTCTGGTGAGAAGTAATTTGTAAATAGGTCCTTTTTTTTTTTTTGGTTTTGCGTTGTTTCTTGAATGTCCAGAGGACCAGATTGAACTTTTTTAGATTTTTCTACCTGGATTATTGAGCATGTTATTTATAAGTATATTTGTAAGTAGGTGTTCACAGAAAATATTCAGCATTTTTCTTTAGCTGGAAATCTCAGATCAGAGTACAAAATGGGCAGATTTACCATATTTTTCCCGACTATTTAAAATCCTTTAAATTTCTAAAAAAAATCCACAGTGAGCCTTATAATCCGGTGCACTTTATGTATGAAAACAGACCTTTTCAATGATATTGCGCCTTATAGGCCGAAAAATACGATATTTATATTAATGGGGTTCAGATTTAAGATCCTGTCAGGTCAAACCCAGTGCATAAAGATAAAGTCAGTTTTCCTGAACGTATAAATGACTGGATAGATGTTTTTTTTCTTTCAAATGCTCTCTTCTTCAAGGTTTGCCACTGTGAACGAAATGGCATAAACATATTTGGCAGTAGTGTTGCCATTAATGCAACCTGGGCTCGCGCCTGCAGCCTCATGATTGCAAATCCGTGACACTGACCACCGAGCGACTGCAGCCCTAAACGTCTGGATATTTATAGATGATTATTTCCCCGTTCAAGGTTTTAAATCTAAAATGACCAGTGTTTCCATCTGTTGTTAAAATACATTTAAGTTACATCCTCCTGATTTTACAATAAAATACACTTCTTATTAAAAAAAAGATTTAAAATCCTTAAAAATTCCATTCATTCCATAAATTCCTCCACTGTTCATTTTATCCTGGAAGCTGGAGTCTAAATCAAGTGATATTTGCTTCCATGCCAAGTCATAACAATATTATTGACACTGCACAAGTCCCAACATTTCAGGTCCTACTCTAAATCCGATAACTCTCAGGAAAGCAAACTGACTCACTCCTGAGGTATGTGCACACTTCTGTGTGCATGCCTTTTTGCTAGACTTCGATAAACTTTTGCAAACTTCGCAAAACAGAACACTCAGAAATCCCACTCTTTATTTCCAATTATGTGTTTCCCTACACATCTGCAGCAGGTCATTGCATCACAGACTGCTGCACTGATTACAGTGTACACCTGCGGAAACACAGCTGGAAACACGCCAGGAAATGTGAAATTGTGTTTATTTTCCACAACTGAGAAATGTGGTAATGACGTAAAGTGTAAATTAGTCCTAATTATGATATCTATTTGGTTTGCTTGTAGATAAAACTTGATTTTTTCCTTCTTTTTTTTAACCACAGAAATTGAAGCGATTCTTAAACTGAGGGAAATAGGGGACTATAAGTTGTGGCAGGGGAGAGCGTGGCCAGACAGCATCAGCTGGTTGTGTGTAGAATGACTTGTTGTGAAAAAGAGAAAAGAGTAAAATCAAAAAAGATGACAAAATGGTGGAAGCTGAGGAAGGAAAAATGTTGTGAGAAATTGAGAAATAGCTGTTAAAGGCTATGGGTGAAAAGAAAGAGCTTCCAAATGACTGGGCTACTACAGCAACAGTAATTAGAGAGACAAGTAGGAAGATACTTGGTGTGTCATCTGGCCAGAGAATGGATGATAAGGAAATCTGGTGGTGAAACAGTGAAGTGCAGGATGCTATTCAAGGAAAGAGGTTAGCCAAGAAGAAAAATGAGAGTGAGAGGACTGAAGAGAGGAGACAGGAATATAAGGAGAGGCAAAGTAGAGCAAAGAGGGAGGTGGCAAAGGCAAAGCAGAAGGCGTATGATGAGTTGTATGGGAGGATGGACACTAAAGAGGACGAGAAAAACTTGTACCGCTTGGCAAGACAGAGGGATCAGGCTGGAAAGGATGTGCAGTAGGTTAGGCTTATTAAAGATAGGAATGGTAATGTTCTAACAAGTGAGGAGAGTGTGACGGGAAGATGGAAGGAGTACTTTGAGGAGCTAATGAATGAAGAGAATGAAAGAGAAAGAAGAGTAGAGATCATAGAAACTGTGGACCAGGAAATGGAAAAGACTAGTGAGGGTGAAGTTCAAAAAAGCTGGGAAAAGAATGAAGAAGGGGAAGGCAGTAGACCTGATGACATACCAGTGAAGGTTTGGAACTGTCTTGGAGAGATGGCAGTGAGGTTTTTGACTCAAATATTCAATGGCATATTTGAGGGTGAGAAAATGCCTCAGGAATGGAGAAGAAGTGTGCTGGTGCCCATTTTTAAGAACAAGGGTGATGTAGAGTTATAGCAACTACAGGGGAATTAAGTTGATGAGTCACATGATGAAGATCTGGGAGAGAGTTGTGGAAGCTAGACTTAAACGAGAGGTGACTATTTCAATTCCATTTAATTCAGTTTATTTATATAGCACCTGTTTACAACAAAGTTGTTTCAGGGCACTTTACAGGAACATTCAAATACATAGAAAAGCCAATTAGTAAAGTTCTCTATCTAAGGAAGCCAGCCGACAAGTTGAATCTTGGCTTCGTTGCAGTCTCCCATCCTGATTTCCTATTTGTGAGCAGCAGTATGGTTTCATGCCAAGAAAGAGCACCATAGATGCCATCTTTGCTTTGAGGATGCTGATGGAGACGTACAGAGAGGGTCAGAAAGAACTCCATTGTGTCTTTGTGGATTTAGAAAAAGCATATGACAAAGAGCTGAGGGAGGAGGTGTGGTATTGCATGAGGAAATCTGGAGTGCCAGAGAAGTATATTAGACTGGTACAGGACATGCATGAGGACAGCAGGACAGTGGTGAGAAGTGCTGTAGGAGTGACAGATAGCTTCAAATTGGAGATGGGAGTGCATCAAGGATTGGCTCTGAGCCCCTTCTTGTTTGCTCTGGTGATGAACCGACTAACAGATGAGGTCAGGCAGGAATCCCTGTGGACTATGATGCTTGTGGATGACGTGAACTGTGGTGAGAACAGGGAACTGGTGGAAGAGAACTTGGAGAGGTGGTATGCACTTGAAAGAAGAATGAAAGTCAGCCGTAGTAAGACAGAGTACATGTGTGTGAATGAGAGGGAGGCCGGTGGAACAGTGAGGCTACAAGGAGCAGAGGTCACAAAGGTGCAGGACTTCAAGTACTTACGGTCCGCTGTCCAAGAAAATGGGCAATGTGGTAAAGAGGTGAAAAAGAGAGTCCAGGCAGGATGGAGTGGATGAAGAAAAGTTTCAGGAGGGAATTGTGACAAAAGGGTGTCAGCAAGGGTCAAAGGAAAAGTGTACAAGACAGTGGTGAGACCAGCTCTGTTGTATGGTCTGGAGACAATGACATTGACAAAAAGACAGGAGAAAGAACTGGAAGTGGAAGAAATGAAGATGTTGAAGTTCTCCTTAGGAGTGACAAGGATGGATAAGATTAGGATGAGATCATTAGAGGTACAGCAGAGGTTGAACAACTGGGAGATAAAGTTAGAGAGGCCAGACTGAGATTGTTTGGACATGTCCAGAGGAGGGACAGTGGGTATATTGGTAGAAGGATGTTAGAAATGCAGCTGTCAGGGAAAAGACAAAAAGGAAGGCCAAAGAGAAGATATAAGGATGCTGTTAAAGAGGACATGGAGGTAGTTGGAGTGAGGACAGAGGATGCAGAGGACAGAGATGGAGGAGGGTGATTCGTTGTGGCGACCCCTGAAGAGGGAAAAGCCGAAAGAAGAAGAAATTGAAGTGATTCTATCTGTTTTAAAATTTCAAAGTGTATTTTTTGTAAAATGCCTTACATTAAACATCTCATGTGCACCTGAGTTTGGTCCAACAATAACCAAAACGTTTTCTAAAGACTTTATTTTAAGTGTATAAACCTAAGATGTTGCCTAAACAGTTTCAAACAAATCATTGATTAAAAACCATATAAAATCTCATGATAGCCCTTTTTCAGACTGAGCTTATCTCCCACAGACTCTATCATAGTCAATCAAACTGGCTCATTTCTGAGTAGTTTCAAAGTTCAACACCTAAAACCTTTTTAAGACAATCCCAAGGTTTCGTGCAGGCAACTGCTGGATGTCAGGATGCAGGTTTTCCCCTGTGAAACGTTACAAAAAGAAAAACGTTGGTCGTTTTACCTCCCATTGGTCATAATAATATGGCTGAATAATGTATGTTACAATCAAAAAGCATGCTTCTACTTATTACAGGAACTCTGTAGCATATCAGTTTAAACTGCATGCAAATCTTACACTACAGAACCATCAGGCATCACGGACTTTATATACCGGTACATGTATATTCATCCATGATGCAAAAACTGACTACAGATCAGTTGCATCCTTGACTGATTACCAGATGTGCATTAGGCTGCACCAGAACACGATCATCTGCAGGGAGAATGATGAGTCACAACATGTCATTAATTAGTCAGCCAATTCTTCTCCCCATGAGCACATACCAGGAAAAACACTCAAGGAGAGAACAGTACTGGATCATCTGGACTTTGGTAACTGTGACAGCAGGGTTCCATCGCTGCAGCTGATGGAGTCAAAGGTGAACAGCTTAGTTGTAAAACTCACCCAGCAATTCTCTCTTCTGTAATTTCTTGAATGAAATTGGCAAACAATTTGGTTTAATTTACTGGGAAATGACACTAAACCTTATCCAAAGGAACCACAGTATAGCTGCATAATATTATACTAACGATTAACTAATTAACTATTATACAGTATGTTGTATTTTGGGGGTATTTATATTATTTCTAAGCAAAGATATGCATAGTAATGAATAAAAGGGATAGTTCAGGCTTTTAAAGTGTAGTTCTGTGGAAATTTCACAATTAACATCTTACCTGTTGGAGACAGCTCTTGAATGGTCACATATTGGAAAAGTAGATTTTTATTTTGATCAGACTGATGAATCCGAGAGGGGCCAGAGCAGATGTTTGCCATCTTAAAATGGCTCCAGTCTCAAAAAGTTCAACGATGCTATTTTATAAACCATTTTAAAGCCATCCATTACTTATTACACGTTTTTTTCCCGGCAGATATATTATGATATTCCTGCTGTAAGTGCTTGAGCTGCGCTGAAGGCGCTACAGCTAGTTGCTGTTGCTACTATTTGCACTTGTAAATTAACTACAAAATGCTTTGTAAATAAGCACGTAATGGCAAACTGATGGGTATTCAAATGTTTATAAAATGGTAATTATATGAATTATTCTACACATCTGGTTTGAAGTTGGAGTTGTTTTAAGAGGGCATCAATCCACTTTGGCCTCTACTGATCTTGGGCTAGCCATTAGCTTGCCAATAAAATTACACTGAATTTCTTTGACCTCAGTTGATACTAGAACTTAGGTCTGGGAATAACGTCAGACCAGGCTCCAATTGCAAGTCTAGAAACTAGGATTTGCTAAACGTTGTACTGCGAAACCAGGCTAACAACCATTAGCAAAACAAGTGAACAACAGTGTGTAATAACATAAATGTAACATAACAGCACACCGTGTTTCTCTGCATTCAAACACTGCAGCAACATGTTCACTAACAGCGTGTTTGACTGAAATGCTGAGATATAAACCAGCAGAAAGCAAAATTAAAATGAAAAAAAAAAAGACTGCTATTCAATAACATAAATGAATTGTTTTCTCCTTAATTACATTGGACATTTTAAGAGATTTGCAATCATTTTAATGGTTTTCAGCACAACAGAAACGCTGGTGAGTTTAAGTTACATTACCCCTAAGCAATAATAAAAGTATAGGAAACATGTTGGAAGCATGCAAACTACACATATTTAACATATTTTGACATCAATTATGGCTTTAAACTCTGTTTCTCCAAAATGAGGTTCTTCAAAGAGCTATCCACAACAGGTAAGATGTTGACTATCAACTCCACAGAAACCCACTTCATAAGATCTGCGACGTAACTTGTAGGAACTTAGCAGTAATGTGTGTAAAGTGTGTGAAGTTCCAGGGTTTTGGGAACAGAATCACGCAAACATTTTGTTTCTTCCGTTTCTTGTTGCAGCCGGGTCTCCTGATGGCGGCAACCGTTACATAACGCTCCGATTCTCCCAACTTAGCATCAGGCGGAAAACTTCAAAGCAGAAGAGCTCACCGCTTCAGCGTCACGACGACATATTGATTAAAAAGAAATATATACAAATTTTACCTTAAAGACTCCAAGACAGCCCGAGCGGTGGAGACGGAGAAAGAAATGCTCGAGGAGGAAGAGGAGGAGGATGCAGCTGTGTCCCACAGCCCGATGAAGGAGGGGGGGGGGGGGGGACTGACAGCTGTCTGGCCGATCTGAGATCAGTCTGGTGAGAGGAACAGGAGCTTATAGCCCGGAGGTGACCTGCTGTGTCGCAATGACACATGTAATCAAAGGGATGACATCAGACCATCCTCTGTGCGCGTGGAATTCAAACTCACGTACGTTTTTTACAGCACGTGAAGGCAGCATGAGCAGAGGGAGTGTAAACGATAACGACTTTTATTTTGAAAGGCTGTCTCCCTAGTCGTGTAAAACCGAAAGTAATTCACTTCAAACGCCTAACGCTAAGCATTCAATGTGAATCTGATTTTTGTAACAAGAAATAACTGCACAAACAAAAACGTAATTTTTATGCTTTACCACTTTAGATAAAGTGTTTTATAAATTATAACCAGGACATTTTTTTTTTTTTTTTTTTTTACCGCTCCTTGTCCGTACAGCAATAATAAAACATTTAGGGTCAGTAAACCATTAGTTCATAAAGTTAATATAGCCCCGCCCAGATAGCCCACTCTGCTCTGATTGGTCGGCTGCTCTGACCTGATCAGGCTCCGCCCACCACTCCATGTTAATTCAAGTAAAAAAAAAATTAAAAAAACTGCGCCCCACCGCTCACTCAGTTTGACGTGAACATAAATTTTCTTGTTCTCCAGGAAAACTTAAAAATATACTTAATCATGTCTAACGTGTTTGTGTGTGTGTTACCTACACACTGAAAACAAATTGTATTTTATGAAAACGTTGGTTTTTCTACTTCCTAATAAATTGAGTTTACAGTTATAATAATAATAAAAAAAAAACATTATCATTGTCTCTAACAACAGAAATCGAAAGTGTACTCATGTTTCTGCTCATGTCTCTTCATTTGCTTGTATTTTAGTGAAATATCTCATGAACCACTGGACGGATTTTAACAAAACATTTGCTGGATTTACATCCACAACTTAACTTCTAAGATAACCCTAATTCAAGATGGCCACCACAGCCAACTGAGGTTAGCAAACACAAAAATAGCTCCAAGTTAGCCAGTCATGTAAAAGTTGTGCTAAAATTTTGTGTGGTAGTAGCTGAGAGTCATCTCCAGCAAACGTCCCGAGGGCTTCACATTCTGTAAACTCTATACTTAAACGTTTGACTTTAGCTGTTTGAGTCAACATTGTCTGTTAGCAAAATATCTTATGGACCACTAGATGAAATCAACATCTAGAACTGATTGGAGTCAACACCATTTACGATGTTTACCACAGCTAATTAGCATTAACTAACATAAAAATTGCTTTAAATCAATTAATGTTTTACAGATTACCCTGGAATTTTGTTTGGTAGTAGCTGAGAGTCGTTCACAACACATACTCCCAGTGCTCTGGCAAGCTTCCACAATATTTCATGAGATGGCTCATAATGTCATTAACAAGACATGATATCCCTTTTAATCAAATGTAAAATGTAACTGGTAATCCTGAAAGAATACTAGGGCTTGTATGATCATTATAATCATTTACAACATTGAAATGTTAGTAAATCCATTCACCATGTCCAAAAGATCGATGTGATGGAGGCAGATCAGGATTGAACTCATCATTGTTTTCCTCTGGCTTCTGTTTTTCTTCTTCAACACATAGCCAGTTCATTGTACAAAAACTTGTAAAAGATTGTTTTCATAGTGTGACGCTTTCTGAATGATGAAAATTGATTTATAAAGACAAACCATTATGATTTTTGGTATTAAAAGCCAGAATGGAAGATATATTTTATTTAGTTTTGATTAATTACTCCTTGTATGAGTCTGATTACAAAAAAGAACAACTAAGTAATGACCATCTTACACGATTTCCACCAATACTGGTTCTGACATAAAAAAATCTTTTAAAACAAATGTTTGCTTGCAAGGAAAATACTCTCCATGTGTAACTTTAGAGTCTTATTTTTAACTCAATGTTAATGTTGTTTGGCTTAAACAACTTTAGTAAATCACACCTTGAGTAGATTTTCCATCAATGTTTTATCACAATCTATCCCAGACTTTGTTAGATGTCCATTGCACACTAAATGTCGCTCCATTCTCGTCAGTTTTAAACTAAACCTAAAAGTACGCAGGTAAGCACTCAATGAAGAATTTTTATCTGCATATTTTACTCAACAAATCTTTTTTTTCGACTTCTTCTTCTTTCGGCTGCTCCCTTCCTCAGGGGTCGTCACAGCGAACTAGCTCACACAAAGATTTGGCAATTGTTTTTATGCTATGGTATGAAGCAACCACAGACCACCGAGCTACCATAGCCTTCTGTGGAGCAAAGAGTTGTCATCTAGGGCACCTGGGGGAGCAGATGGTGGGGGCTAGGGGCCTTGATCAAGGGCTGAGTGGGGCAAATGAGGGTGGAGGCAAGTGTAGGCGCTTCACCTTTCCCATCCCGTTACTTAACAAATCTGAGTATGAATATGAAACAGGTTATCAAAATTGTGTGACTTTCCACCCATTGGTGCAGTCTATGTGATACGCAGTATACAAAGTATACCCACTAGAAAAACTTGGGAATTTCAGTACACCAACTTAAAGGTGCCCAGTGACACAAGCTCATGTCACGTATCATTGGCAATGATACGTGACATGAGCTTGTGTCATTGTCAACACATTTGGAACATTTTATAGGCCCAATGAGTTGGCTCAACCTGTTTTTTGTATAATTAATACTTCTGTACTTACTACTTAATACTTGAACATGTTTTGCTTTGATACCGTTTTATAAATTCTATGTTTCTAAAACAAAACCAACTGTTGTGCAAAGTTTGTTGTATGTTTATTCAATTGAAAGCGTCAGAGAAATTTTGAAATGTGCAATATGCTTAAAAATCAAAACAAATTAATGAGTACATTGTACTAACTGGTATACTTTGTTTTACAAGTGCAGTATACCCACTACAAAAATGTAGACTACACCACTGTTTCCACCCCAGTTGGCTCTTCTGTAGACGTCACCATTGTTGATCTATTTTTAGTCACTTTGGCTTTTTTCACAGATAAAGCTAAATATTTGTTTCACCTTTTTAGCCCTGTGCAGTGATGCTCTTTAAGCTGTAAAAAAAAACACACATTCATGACCTGTTTTTTGAGACTCATTGCTGGTAATATATGCTGCATATATAATTTAACCACTCAAACCAATTAGCCATTACAGTACAGATCCCCAGTGAGTCCCCCACTAAAGCTCTGAGGCATTACAGAGGGGATGTCTTGTGTTGCCTGGCATTGGGACTACAGCAGATTGTTAGAGTCCTGGATTACAAAGTAAATGTTTCAGAAAAGAAAGTTTGTTGATCATCTACCTCTCGGACTGACTGGGTTCTGTGGTGTACAAAAGCTGTTTTTTTTTTGGTGCCGGACATGTCGTTCTTCAGGATGATTCTCGGAGGAACACTCATGCTATGAATGCACATTCCTGATTTGAATAGACAATGGGATGCAATTGACGCCACAGTGGTAGTGCTGTTGCCTCTCACTTAAAAGGTTGCCGGATCAAATCCTGGCCAAGGGCCTTTCTGGGTGGAGTTTGCATGTTCTCTCAGTCCATGCATGAGTTCTCTCCGAACACTCCGGTTTCCTCCCACAAACCAAAAACATGCATATCGGCTAACTGGTAACTAAATTGTCCCTAGGTGTGAGTGAGAGAGCGAATGGTTGTTTGTCTTGTATCCATGTGTCCTTGTGATGGACTTGAGACCCGTCCAGGGTGCACTTTGCCCTTCGCACAGTGATTGCTGGATATAGGCACCAGTGACCCCCGCAACCCGAAAAGAACAAAGCAGAGACAATGGATGGATGGAAGTGTCAAAACTTAGAACTGTTAATCAGAACTTTGGATCTTCACATAATCAGCAGAGTTTGCTTCACCTGCTGGTGCTGATGTGGCTCATTTATGTCATTAGAGTTGTAAAAACCTATTCTTGAGGTATTTCCTACGAGACTTTGTGTTTCCAGGAAACACGACTCAGATAAACGGACCCGCAGGGTGGCTGATGTGGCTGGTGATGATTTGTCAGCCCCAGCTGCACTTTGTGTTTCTAAACCAGTGTCGGCATACTCCCTCGCAGAGCTGATAGTGAATACAGCGTCTGAGTATCATAATATCCTGGCTATCAGTGTTAGCATCTATGTCTGCAGGGTTGCAGAGACTGTTTTTACACCACTAACTACCTTTTTTAAAATGCCAACTGCAACTGTTTGGACTTGAGATAACTAGAAATACTGTTTTTGTGCCAGTAGAGCTTTGAGAAACCAGTAATGGAAAATGAATGGGCTCTTTATGATTTGAAATGCATTATTTGCCATAAAACAAAGACAAATTTACAACAAAATAGCAACAATAAGCTTGTAGTTTTGGAATGCAGCAACTATTGAGTGGTGTTAGATTAGCAATTGGTCTGGAATTTTATTTGATTTCTTGCTATAAAATCAATATTCGTATTGCTTATTTGTTAAACAACCTCTTTTTTAATTAAATTTTTTGTCGCAGGAGTTGTTGGTTATGAATGATTATTCAAACCAGATATTGGTGTTTTAATGCCAATTTACCATATATAGGATTTTTTTAAAACAAGGATACATTTTAATTTATATTTATACATGTTAATCACATTCTTTGTGTCAACATAATGTAATGAATAAGTTAGGTTACATCTACTTAACGATCTCTTTACTTGACAGTCTCATTTACAAGATAGACCTGCAACACATAAAACCAGTTACTTATATCAATACAACAATCATAAAACGTGTTGATGGTAAAACGGGGCAGAGTGTCACAAAACTTAAAAACATGAACTGGTCTTAAACGATGATTTCTCCATTTTCTTTTAAATATATTTAAAATGTCCCAGAAGGATCAAATTGGACAGTTGCAGATGTTGTTGCTATATCTCACTCTAGCAGCTCTGTTCATAATAATACATTAATAATAATAAAGCAATCA